CTTATGTGAGGCGTGGATACTGGCCTATTTGCGTGAATGACCCATCCATGCTTCTAACTGCTTCCTCATATGGATTAAAGCGGATGCAGATAGTCATCGACATCTTGCTAACCCTCGTCCTGATTCCTTTTCTCACATAGTGTGTAGAATATTGAAATTCTCAATTTCGCCTTGTTTGTTTATTCTAGCACAAGCAGTTTTCGTCAACCGTGTGTCTGTTTGTCACATCGCACCAACGCTCTAATCGGACAGTACGAAGACAATTCAAGTAATGTCAATTAACTGCTAGTCTCCACAACGCGGAAGAACCTTTTTGGAACGTTTAGGCAAACTATCACGGAGGCAATTGCAAGATGACAAATCTTACACACCTGCAGAATTGCCTGAGAAACTGAGTCAACTGCATACAGAAACAAGACTAGGACGAAGCGCTAATTGGCTATTGGTCAGGTCATATTCCGCAGGTGGTGAATTAACCGAGAATGACCCCTATTGTTTCTATGCGCATTACCATGGCTTTAGATATTTAACTCCTGATTACCTCGTACACTTAGTAATAGATTGCTACGTAAATTGCAGCAGATGGAATCCTGACGTGGCGTGTATGTGTGGGAAAAGAGCCTGGAATCACAGCTCCTAGCAGCTCCTTGTTAAGGGTTCCCGATTGTCATGTTACAATTTTGCACGAATGTTTCCACGAAACTGGTGCTGCCACAATTGAGCAACGGCAAAATAAGTCGCGATTTCACACCTTTGGGCTAGTCGATTGGCTTCACACTAGTTTCCGTACCCAAGCTCTCATTCTTGTCAGTCAGCCAATTGGCGTTCTGTCACCACCCCATGCCACGATGCTTGGCCAATCACAATGCATCGCAAGATCTAACAATCGCATTCCTTCATGAGAGATTCGCGATTGGAAACGCGCAGTCAACACACTCAAATCGATTGGGGTGCTTGGCAGTCACACACCAGTCGACGCTGAACATGGACCTAATCGTGGATCACTTATCGTTCACTGATGTCGTCTAACGCAAGTATTACCGCAACATTCCAAAGTACTTCGAACACCCGTCGTCATGCTTCCGGCACTTCGAAGTCTATTTTCAGCACAACAAGATAACCTCGCTAATCACCATGTATAATTGTGTTTAGACAGAACTGCCTATCCATGTCGCACTTGCAATTCTTGATGTGATTGAGAAAACTCTGGAGTATAGACCCTGTGATGTGCTGAAACAAACGAGTGAATCAAATCTACGAAACTCGTGCACGTCGCCTGCTTCCCAATATTGAGTTGGGCAACAGGTTACCGTTGGAACTGCTAAGGAAGGCAGAATGGTTACATGGAACTGCGTCTAGTGTGGTCCAAGTGCATGCCGGCGAAGATACAGGCCAGCATTGATGGTTTTACACTTGAAGCACAATTGGACGATTTGGCGAATTTCACTGATGAATTGCATGGAGAATTGCAAAAAGGTGAACATCGAATCATACATCCATTCAAAAGGGGGCGTAAAGCGTCATTTACTCGACCGCAAATGAACTTACGCGAATGCTTCAGAAGATATCTGAGTTATTGGAGCGTGTCTTGTGAAGGGTAATGGCTGAAGCCTAGTTGTCATTGCTGATTCTTGCCCATCATTTATTTAACGCATATTTTAGTATTAAAGTGACTAATGTATACTATTCTGGTTATTGAAGTAGGATGTTCTGCTTGACTAGTGATATATTGGTCCACTGATGGCGAGGAAGGAGAGGGGTTCGTTATGTTTTATTACTACTGGGGGGGGGGTTGAATTTGAAATTTTGGTTAGACAGGTTACGGCGCCATCAATTGGGCACACTTTCATGTCATCACTGTGTCATCTCATGTGCAATAATTGTTAGCTCTGCACTTGTGGATGTCCAGTGATTCACTGTGACTCATTGCAGATGCTTTGAATGCATGATTTAAAGAGTGTGGCGTTCTCATTGTAGCAGGCAAGTGTTGACTGGTTTGTTTTATCTGTACTATGAGAGGAATTGCTCCACAGGATACATTTTGATTTCAGTAATGTGGGGACACTTAGGAATGATTGACCGAGTTGGCAAATTGGCATCCCAGCTGCACAAACGTCATTCCGTTACGTACATCAAAGTTCAGAAGTCAAAATCGTGGATTATACCTTCTAGTTTAATGTAAACGGTTGTCACGTGCTGTAGTGGCTTCGAGAGATTTGCGCGCACGTTTTCAATTGGGGATTTAGAACTCCTCAAGATGCTTCATCGCCGATTTCGTCATTGTTCACACCATTTGTTGAACCACGCCACTTCAGCGGATAAGTCACCACTGCAACCCACTGACAGCTTACGTTTGTTAATGCGTTTTGATCCGCCAGGCGACTAAAGCTCTATGCGCGACGTCTTTTCTTGCGTCTGACATAGGGGTCGGTTATACGGGATATTTGAGTGTGTGTTTTCTGTGGAAACGGGCACACGTAGCATCTTCACAACACCAAACGACGAGTCTACGTGAGTTGCATAACCTCATAGAATAGCAGAGTTCACGATGGCAGCTTATAAATAGAACATTCACCAATGCATTTTTTGGGCACATCAACAAGCACAAATGACTTCTAAGCCTCCGAAATTGAATTCTACCACCCTTGGTAACGATTTTGTGCCTTATGAAACGCGTGAATTTTGGTGACGTCATGGCCAAACAGCTGCAAACCACACATCCTGAGTTTGACGATGCAGAAATGCAAGCTCTACTTGATGACGATTCGACGCAAATGCAGCAGGAGTTTACTGCTCAGTTAACGGTCACCCAACAGCTATTTCCAAGCGTTCGAAATCTTCGACACTGCATCCATGTTAATAGTTTGCATTTTATTGCTGACAATAGATATATTGCATCTAATCTATACTAGAATAGACTGGAGAAGTCCATCAAACCTCAACAACTGGCGACATGTTGTGCAAACTAGGATTAGGTCTAGTAGTCAGGGAAGGCTCCTTATGCAGTAGGACATATTCAGCTTCCGTGTGGCCGTTCGAACACAGTTATTTCAAGACGGTGTTACACTTCAAACAGGCTTTGTGGAGGATGAGGTCACAACGTAGGAGTAGGCAATGTGGTCACTGCATTTGCAATCTTCGAGTCATTATCACGCTCCCAGAATTGGACAGGTCTACACAGCCAAAACGCGTTTAGAGGTTATTGAAGGAATCGCCTGTTGCATGGCACGCTGAGTGGCGTGCATGCCAGTTACTTGAATTTGCATTGGTAGGTGACAGTCTAATGATCGGGTCTAGTGAGTAAGGGTTTCTCTACAAGTCCACGTAAAGATGGCTTCTGCAGTCTTAGACTGAGTGACTTATCATAATATCCCAAATACTCCAAGTCACCAATGACATGGACACGATGGATCAAGTCAGATTAACATTAATGAAGCTATCAATGGCCTGCCGTTGCCAGTCAACTCACTTGAGTGGCGTGGTTAGGGAGTTATGTTAACCAAGACGACATCGTGACTAACGGTGATCCGCCATCCGCCCTAGGCTGCCTCATATCACGTACCCTGGATGGTGTTGAGCTCAACAAGAATGAGTGTGTGGTGGCGTGATGGCCATTGCGCTTGAGTGAGGCATATATACTGACCTATTTGTGCCCATGACTCATCCCTTTTTCTTACTGGTGTCTCTTTTCCACTAATGCGGCTGTAATATCTGTGATATCTAGAGTCTACGCATTTGGCATTCATTGTGATCACCGCACACCCCAAATTGTGCGCCAAACAAGTCAAGACCCCAACGATCGGTGATGACTGCGGACATTTGTCTGCATCTTGCAAATCCACACCCTGAATCCTTGTCTTGCAACATTCCGCTCTTAATTCAAATTTCACAATTCATTTTGTTTTTTTCATTCTAGTAGAGACCGTATTCTCCAACTGCTTGCCTCTGTGTCACTTTGCATGCACGCCTCATTTGGACGGTACGAAGCTTGATCTTTTAACTTGCTTAACCAGAAGCAATCTGACACTGAGGGCATCAGCCACATAAATAGACTGCAATACAAATTTCGGTAAGAAAGCGTATTTCTGCCCGCCGACTAATCTTTCAACTCGCGCAACCAAACGCAAACTGAACTTCTGCCACACGACTAAATGTGTGCGTCGTGCCACGGTGGCAGATCTGGGACAGAAGAAAAGGCCTTGGTGAATGCCAACTGTGCCAGACCCATATGATTTCTTCCGATCGACAACAGTGCACTAAAACAGAAATTCATTCATTTTGCCTGGATATCCTGAAGGCAAGTAAATGTCGAGTAGCACAAGGTTCATTTTGGGCGCACTGGACAACGCTTGTCTTAACTAGGGTTGCTTGATGCAAACCAAATTAACCCACTCCACCCTACGTAGGTTTTCGTCTGGCATACAGCAATAACGTTAGGTGAGGACATGAAACAGGCAAGGTACTGATTCAAACAACCGAACAATTCAATTGGCATGGTCACAAGTTTATTGCGAATTCAATTTCCATGCTGGGCTTAGTGTGCATTTTACAGCAAGAACGTATATTCTCCCATGATTTAGACAAACAGCGTTGTGTCTGATCCTTTAACTTGCACAAAAGAACCCTCCAAGGCCATGAATACATCGGCTTTATTAACATGCTGCACTTCTACATTACATCGAAAGCGAACATAACTCTCCAAAATCTGTCTAAAAGTGCCACTCTGTGAGGCAAATACGCTTGCAGTTGATTTGGCCCAAGCGAAATTCCTCAGCAGGTGCGTTTCCAAACTAGCTACTGCTAAACTCAAAAGAATTTACTATTGACACTTAAGTTCCTGCTCCTCATTGATCAAGCCAGGGGACACCAGTTTGGCCAAAATGCGTGTGGCTCTCTTACAATAATCACCGCCTTCTCCGTAACTCGACAAAACTAGTTGCAACGGCTGTTATTGGTTGTTACCGTTCAAAAGACAGTTAATACAATATTGCAGACATCCTCTAAAGCATTTTTGCAATTTTATCCATGGTCAAACTGAGGGTGCGTTTCGCTTTCTCTTTGGTGATTTGACTTGTTCGATTTTCTTCTTCTCGCAAGTTTCTGAGACAGTTACTAGTGAAATCTGCCAACTCGTCATGCGGCGTATCGTTAGTACTCATCTCAAGACCGGGCCGCATCTTCCTCGGCATGCACTTGGTCCACACTTGACGCAGTTCCATGTCACCAATCTGCCTGCCCTCAACCTCACTTTGCATGTGCGGTAACAGTTCCGATGGTAAACTACTGGCCAACTCAACATTAGGAAGTGGGCGTCATGCACGAGTTTCGTCGATTTGGTCCATTCGCTTGATCATCGTGTGTTCAAGCTTAGGCTGACTGAACGCGGTGTGACCTACAGACTAGGCATCAGATCCTCTTACCCACGGACTGCGCTAGTCACCTACGTCAAGAAGAAGATGGCTCTCCTTGCCAAAACACAGGCCACCGGGAGCTCGACTGGTCAGCAACCTGCGTCTTCATGCCTCACCCACGCATGCATGAACATCTTAACGCAAATCGAGGCGGACCATGGGGCTCAAGAACAGAGTACGAATCAGAATCGTCTGGTGTCAACGTGTTCTGCGACCACATTGTGGGTCTGACCAACGCGGCAGCCACCTGCCAACGAGTTGTGAAGAAACCCGCTCATGAACCCCTCCAACAGAAATGCCTTGTCTACCTAGACGACATCAGAGTGTTTATTTTAACTAAAAACGAAATCTTAATAAGATTTCAAATCAGTATCACTTGCAAGATTAAAACATAACGAACCTCGTCATCAGTCGATCCAGGACATTACTAGTCACAAAAATAGCATATTTGAACTAGGGCATAGCATTGCAACATGTATATCTTCGTTACAGTGGGACGAAACCAGTAAACACAGTCCTGTTTTCGTCGTTACCCTTCAGAAGGCTGCTGATTGAATAACGCAGACATCCTATCAAGCCTTCTTACAAGTTTATCTACAGCCAAATTGATGGTGCGATTAGCTTCCTCCTTGGAGGATAGACTGGTTCGGCTATCGTCTTCTCGTAAGTTTTTGAATAAATTATCAGCGAAATCCGCCAACTTGTTCTGTGGCGTGTCGTAAGTACAACGCTCAATGAGGGGCCGTATCTTCTCTGGCATGCACTTAGTCCACATCTGGCGCAGTTCTATGTCACTAATCTGCCTGCCCTCAACCAAACGTCGCATGCGCACTAGCAGTTCAGACGGTAACCTGTTGCCCAACTCAACATTGGGAAGTAGGCGACGTGCCCGAGTTTCGTAGATTTGGTACATTCGGGTGATTATCGCGTGTTTCAACACATCATAGGGCCTCTGCTCAGGAATTTCCTCTATCAGATCAAAAACTGCAATTCCTACACGTATCGGAATTTCTGTCAAAACGGGGTAGTATTTGATGATTTGCGAGTTTATCTTGTTGCGGTGAAAATAGACCTCGAGTTGCCTGAACCATAACGATGGGTGTTCGGTCTATTTTGGAATGCTGTCGTAATAATTGCGTTCGACGAAATCAGTGCGCAATGGGTGATTTGCGACTTCGTCCATGTGTAGCCTCGACGTGTGTGACTGCTTTGCAACTCAGTCGACTTGTACTCATTACTAGGGCGTTTCTAATCTCGAGTCACTTGTGAACGAATAGGGTTGTTTTTGGATCTCACAAGCGTCATGGCACAGGCTGAATGAACACATTTCGGCTGACTGACATGAGTGATTATCTGGGGACGGAAACATGGTGTGAAGCCAGTCGACTACCCCGAAGGAGTGAACTCGCGATTTCTTTCGCCGGTGCTCAATAGTAGCAACACCAGGTTCGTGTTAATATTCGAGCAAAATTGTAACATGACAATCAGTAATCCTTAGCGGCCCACTCTTGAGAGTTGTACGCTAACACTTTGTCCATGGACTTGCGTGAAGACGAAAACAAAACCAGCCAACCAATCAAAGCGCGAGCGAAACGTATCAGTAATTCGACTTTAAGCAGAATTCCGGCAATGATTGAGAGGATATCTGCATTATTGCATCAGCTGCCTTCTGAACGGTTACAATGAAAGCAGAACCATGCAATATCCCTTATCCCAATGTTCAATCGTAGTTGAAATATACCATTCTGCAGTATTCGTGATTGCCTGAAGCGACTAACGATGAGGAAGGATAGGTGCTTGTTAGGGATATTCTGTCATTTGAAAGCACCCACTGCATGCAATCAGCTAAGCAAGTGTCTAATTGCTTGTTTGATAGGCACCTTAAACGGAAGTGTAGGTGAAATTGATCTGCAACGGCAACTTTCTAGTGTTTAAATGGGCAACAGTTAGCGTCAGACCTTTTGCATGCGTGATGTGTGGATAAGGGTGAAAACATCGATGACAATATGTCCCCTTTTACCCGGTAGGTTGATGATAATAGCGCAGCTTAAAAAGGACATTAAAAGACAGCAGTTGCCACAAGCAGCTTTACTGTCTAATCCAGAAATTTCAGCTGAATTTGAGGTCAAAAGGGAAGCCAAGAGTGTTCAGATGTGCCCTTTGACTTATGCCCTGTCGATGTGAGATCAATGAGTTGAGTAATTAACACTGAGTGATGAGATATTAATGTGAACAGCGATTTGGCGTAACTGTAGATTTGAAATCATAAGAATGCTAATATCCTCAAAAATCAGAGTTCTGACAATTGTGAACTGAATTCCGTCCGGAGAAGCCAAGGCACATTCCTGTAGCCGCGTCACAAAATGGGAATATATTTCGAGTTTAGACGTAATGTTTATGACACGAAAGCGAGCTCCGATTATCACGAATCGTACTTCAGGGATGCTATCAAACTACAGAATCAGGAAGAGGGCGTCCTTTTGATAATGAGAGGATTGCTCTGGTAAAACCATATTTACAGGCAAAGGATCATCCTTCAAGAGATTTTCGATTTCGTGGAGAACATACACAGTTAAATGATATCCCTGTGCCTCCGTCCATTTATAGGAGGTACCTCATCGTGAATCATGACTAAAACCAAACAGCATTCAGCAAAGTATGACACCATAATCAGGTAAATCGATAGTTATACACTGCTAGGTGTGGTATGCTAAAAGTGTTCTACCCGAGGCTAAGAGAAGCGGGGAAAATCATGAGTCCACACCTACGGGGTAGTTGATTGCCTTCACGCTATGCTTACACCACCTATTCTCAATCTTATCTGTAGGTCATGTCGCATTCAGTCAGCTTAAGCAATAACGTCCGGCCAATCACAATCGACTGTAAAACCTAACAACACCATTGGTTGACTAAGGAATCGAGATTAGAAACGCGCTATCAATACGCGCAAATCGACTGAGCTGCAAAGTAGTCATACACGTGTTGACGTTACACATGGACGAAGTCGGGGATCACCCACTGCTAATAGACGTCGTAGGACAAGACTATCAAGACAATATTCCCAAGTACAGCGAACACCCGTCGCTGTGGTTCCGGCAACTCGAGGTCTATTTTCAATTCTACAAGATAACCTCGCAAAAACCCAGGTATTATTATGTTTTGGAAAAGCTACCTCACCGCGTGAAACTTGCCGTCCCTGATATGATTGAGGAAATTCCTGGGTATAGACCCTATGATGAGTTGAAACACTCGGTGATCATGCGAATGAACGAAATCTGCGAAACTCGTGCACGTCGCCTTCTTCCTAATGTTGAGTTGGGAAACATGTTGCCGTCGGAATTGTTAGAGCATATGCGACGTGTGGTTGAGGGCAGGCAGATTGGTGACACAGAGGTGCGCCATTTGTGGACCAAATGCATGTCGCAGGAGATCCGACCCACTCTTGAGAGTTGTACCTATGATTCACCACTGGACAAGTTGGCGGATTTCGCCGATAATTTGCTAGAAAACTTGAACGCAGACGATGATTGAAACGGAAGTGAAAACCTTCATCTATTCAACCGTGAATGAACTTAGAAGAATGTCTAATAAGATGTGAGTTTTTGGCACATCTGCCTTGTGATCAGAAAAAAAAGTTTTTTCGAAGTTTTAATCCAAAGTCTTGCAATGACACATACCCTAGTGTCATTCGGTAGTTAAAATAAATCACTCTGGATGACTCGTGATCACCTAGATCGACTGACGGAGAAGAAGGAAATGGGTTTGTTATGTTTTGTTGTGACAAGTGATGCTGAATTACATCTTGGTATGGCAAGTTAAAACACCACTACTGATCCACATTTAAATGACATCACTGTGTCAGCCTTTTGAGCAATAGGTGTTAGTGGTTCACTTGTGTAAGTTCAGTGATTTGCTGTCTCGGTGCACTCGTCATAGCAAGATACAAGCTAGAAGTCGAGTTACAGAGTAGAACGTGTTTGTTCTAAAACAGTCACACGCATTTTGGCCAAGTAAGTGACCTCTGGCTTGATTAATGAGGAGCAGGAACTGAAATGCCACAATATGCGAATGCATGCCAAGTTGTGACATGATGCTGTCGACACGAGACCATTCCTTAATGCGCAGGAACCAAACCTCCAGATGGCCAGCGTTCACTGGAAACATAGGCAAACTGTCATGTTTCTAGTGATCATGTAAGGACTGGTGACCCATGTGTTCTTGGGTTGCTAACAGATGAAATCGCAAATGCCTTTTAATTGCTTGATAGATCTTGAAGTAGGAAGTTCAGAATTTGATGAATAGAAATGCGACTGAATTTATACGTGGTTTCTTAGTGTGATTGATGCCTGAGGAGTCAGTGGGTTACGGTAGGGGGTGATTGTGTACATCCACAGAGTTAATCGAAATATAACAGTCGGGCAGCAATAATTTACAACCTCGACACACACTCTTTATTATGCTAAACACACTGTGTGTCAGAGGCCATACTCCACCGTCCGCACTGACTCAATGTCCTTCCTAGAAAAACCATTCACAACTAACACGACTTTTCGACAGGTGTATTCGCCACTCAGGAGAGGTTAAGTGGTTTCAAATGACAGTTATTACAGCACTGATGGAATCACTGTCAGTGGGTTCCACGATCGAGGTCATCCCAACTGGCGTTGTGGAGTTTGGCCGTTAACCCGATGAAGTGTCTGTGACTGGCGTAGAGTTGAATGTTCGGATCGACGTCAACCCAGCGCACAGCAGCCGCGTCGTCACCTAGAATAAATTTGTTCAACAGCACAAACTGTAGCTACACTTGTCAACTGTAGATAACACTGGCCACGTAAGCAAGCTGCAAATAAATAACGAGTGTCCATGAGGACGCAAGAGGCGTTTAAAATTACACCACATCCTTATAAAGTGTGAATAGGCACTAGTACTGTCATCTTGACGGGCATTTTTTCAAGGCCTGCGACTAAGTTAATTGCATGCATCAACGGAGTTAGCTAATTGCGGTATAGGTTATTCGAACTCAACAGCCGTTAATACAAAATTGCATTCTGATCCAAAAAATTACATTTGACGGCATTATATTAAAGGATAATTTCACAGTTCGCTTACCTGCGGTGAGTTTGAACATTGCGAGGCCAGTGCCAGTGTCGTCGTGGAAGTTGACAGCAACCGTCTCCATCCAGGCGTTGTCTGTGTTCCGAGGGTCGTCCACATAACCTCGGTAGACCTGACCACCAAAGCGATGTGTCAATTACTAACCCATCGTATTCTCAACCAACTCATCAATTTCATGAGACACATAAATATCGTCTATTTTACCGACTTTGAGTAAATACGGTGTGGAATAACGTGGACAGCTACCCTAGAGTCTAATTACCCTGACTTACATTGATTGCACAAGAACAGCGTAAGAAGTTACACTGCAAAACAAGTTTAACATTGGCACATACACGAGTTGACGGATTTGGCTTTCTTTTCAATTATGTACATACCTGTACCTAGGAGCAAAAAGAATTTTAACCCGTGTTGTGAGTAAAGTGTTGTCAAATAAACAAGACAACTTTTTTGTCCAATTTCGCAAAGTAACAGTGAATAACTAGTCCAAATGAAATAATCAATCCAGTGTTAACTAATTTCATAGCAATGGAGAAATGGTTCACCTTACCTCACGGCCCTCTTGGAAAGCCTTGTTCACCTCAGACCGAATCTGTTCCACGTTGCCCTCTCCAGCGTCCAGTGAGCCCATGGCCTCCTCTGAGAACTCACGAATCAGAGTGGCGGAGACCTTTTCACCGGGATCAACCATGCCCTGAAAATTCGGATTATAATGTCACAGGCTTCTTCGTTAAGAGACTGATGATAACCACAATGTTTGGGGCCATGGACTTCATGGAACAGTAGAGCAGTTGTTAGACTTTACTGTGGGATATTCAGTGCGTCAACAAAATAACTCAGACCCGACCACATTGGAGTTAAGGGGTGTTTCTTAAGCTCCATAAAAAGCACACGAAAAGATCCGATCATATCGAATTCAAAACCAGGCGGTTCTAACTGAGGTGTTAGGAGATAACTACATTGCCATTTAATCAAAAACTATTGACCCAGAGTGACTGCATAGCTAAAAGGTACAAAAAGCTAGAAACTGCAACGAGAATCTTACACCAGGGATGGCCCATTCTCCAGTATCCCGGCGTTTTATAGCAACGAATTGGAGAATGTGCTTCCCACTGTTAGGTTCAAGCACTTTCCCCCCATTATCATCCAACTTCCACCTAAATTAATATCATTAGGCATTAACCCGCTGTGACTTGAAGCAGAAAATGTATTTCTAGCTAAGAACTAACCTCGTAACAATGGGGTCTGCAGCGTGATTGGGACCCCATCGACCCAAGAGACCACGACCGATTATGCCGGTACGGCCACAGGGGTTTAATGGAAGACCGTTCACATCGAGCTGATATGGCCCTTCAAAACTTGTGCGATCAACTTTTCCATCGATCTGATTAAAGCGTAATTTCTCTTTAGTAGACCTGCAAAGTCAGATATATATCTTCAAACAGGAACTCATTGGAAGCAATAACTGGTTGGACAATTACGCAATTAAACTTCGCATAAGTTGAGAGTGGATAGATATTACGGACATTATTGTATCTATGATACAAAAATGCAGTGTTGCGGGAAAATTTGTGTAAGTTCCTACAAAATTTAATTTATCCACGATAAAACTTAAGAATATTAATTATCTCAAAGCAAAATTAAGAACCTGTCAAAATTCATACAATTTACAGTGCTATCTAGCTGGTCAATTACCATAGGGAAATACGAGAAACGACAAAATACAAATCGATGACTTACAAGATGTCTGGATCAGCCCAAGGAGCTGTCAAACCATGAGGAGCAGTGTACTGCACAGGTTTGTAACAGTCAAAGGCAACAGCCCAAGGAACTTTATCATCAGGAACAAAGAACCGTGAGATGTGAGAGTCCCCGGCGTAGTATTTGCTGCGGCATTTCGTGTGAAGGCTTTCGGTAACCATTGCGGTTAAGCGGAGATTCTACGCAGCGCACATACACAAAATCGTAACGAATTTTGACAGTAGAATTCAAACACAAAATGGACAAATCTTACAATTAGAGACCGTATAAACATTAACCGTGAAGTCACCACACTGGAGGGGACGCATTCGCACAGCTGACCACTACTGTCTTGGTCTCAAGGTCAGTCCTAATAGAACCTGGACAAGAATATCAGCGCCAATATGATAAATGTGTCCCTATGTTATGAAGTGCTGAGACCAAAATTAAAAACTAATTAGAAGAATATTTATAGGTGAGGCTAAATCTCTACATATAACTAACGATCACACAGCAAAACATGCAATTTTAAGTTCGGATTAGAATACAAGAGAGGTTTCCTCAAAGAAGTTACTATGTAAATTATGTAGTGCATGAACACAAAAATTTCATGGTTTGACTATGATTCTTCCCATTATTAGGGTCTTCCAGAAAGTCAAATGTAATATTTTGCAATTAAATGACAAGGTATCCAACATTAATCAGTAAATGTTTTTTTTACAATAAAATATAGCATATCCAAGTGGAAAATGCCAATAAAATATGTGAATTCAAGAGTCGTTATTGAAAAACATAATGACTGAATATTGACCCTAAAGTTTTATTCAATAAAATTTCAAACGAAGTCTGATTTTTAATCAAAACATTATTTTGGTCCTATTAATTGACAGTTAGGAATACAAGGATATTGCTGGGTTTCACAGCTGTAGCACTTTACCTACACAATGTTAATTGATGTTGTTCACAAAATTAAAAGCGATGATGATTGTTACCATTATGTGAATTTTTGGTGACATTTCAAAAATAAGGGTTGGTGACCATCACGCTTGAACTGTTTGTAAATTTTCTTAATTTATTCTAATTACGTTGTTTCCAATTTTATAAGCACCTCCTCGTTCGCCTTAATGTGTTACATAACACACCTTAACAGCTTAAAGCGCAAAATATTTTTAACTAAGCAAAATACTGCGAAAAATAATGAAGCTAACACCTTTCCTTTTATCACATTCCTAGGATTCGCTGAAAAGATGAGCGGGTTATTCTTCTCCTAAGGGTTGTCTGAGGGGATCTGGCCGGTGCGTGAAGTTGTATTGGTTGACAATAATTTTGTCACGAAATGAACGAAAAAACGCTTGTTATTAATTCTTTTGCTGTTTTCCGCTTGCTGTATTCCATTTATCTCATAGTTAAATGGTTCTTTAATGTAGTCCGCAGGTCGTTATCATTGACAGGCTTCACATATTTCTCTCTTCCTTTTTTTTGAGTTTATTTCAAATGCGTGACTTACTTAAATGGGATGGATCGTTTGCAGCACAGTGTATTAAACAGCTGGAAAATTTGTTGGCTGCTTCAGAAATCGCCATATTGTCGTTTTGTTTTGTGTTCGTACAAACATATTACAGAGTCTGACCTCTGAAGTCATTTTCCCAACAAATAATTTTGTGGTAGTGCCCAATTAATTTTCTTGTTTTCATTTCATTGCTTAAATACTGGAAAATTTCCATGGTTTTATTTCTGATATTTAATTGTAAAGGCTACCTTTCCAAATATTATGAATGATTTGTCAAATTTTGCTGATACTTAGGCATAGTGCCTGCAGTTAGTATGATCAGGGAAGGTGTATGCATTGCCACAAATATAAGCATAATGCCCTGGGTATAAATTGTGTGCTGATTGGGTTAGTTTTGCCTGTCATTTAGTTTTTCTCTCAACCTACATAATTGAAGCCAAATTGTTCATTTAGCTCAAACTTGTGAAGTCTAGGTTATTTACTTTTTGCCAATCGCTTGCAGGCCTAATGAAAATGTTAAATTCATTCCTGCATTCTATGTGTTGTTTTACTTCTACTAACTGAATTGAACAGGGATGGTTTAACATAAGGTTCGTTTTTGCCTTTGCCTGCAAGAGTTGTCAACTAGGAGGTATCAACAATTGCTTGTCTGAGGGAACATGCAATTACAGATGCTAGCTCCGTTTCACAGCGCAAGATTCACCTGTTAGATCGAAAGTCTGCGTACGTAATTTCTACGATTCAAACAGCTCCGATCTCGCCTTTTTACCCTGCCAATTAATACCATGTTGGCCTGAGGCGGTACTTTTTATCGACGCTAGCCTTTAAATGCCTGCAACAGGTGTGGGTCCAGGTTCTACAGAATCGTGTATTTTCTTTGCTGTAGACTCATAAATATGGCAAAAAAACGCCAAACTGACGTGGCCGAGGAGATCATCCGGCGCGCTTCCGCATACATACCGGCTTTTGAGGATGTTTTCACGGAGGAGGGGTTCTACATATTTTTTGCCTGCCTTACGGTAACAGTGATTGTTGTGGTGTTCACCTGTGCTTGGTTTTTCGACGTAACTATTACTGACGCTGGCGATTTTGCACCTCGATCTCAAATAAAGAAACCTCGGAAAAAGAAACTGCCCACGTACGGATAAATCAAATATTTTGCTCGCCTACCGCTGTTCCAAATGTGCAATATCAGTAAATTTGTGATTCTTTTTACTTTACCTAATATATTATCATTATACCAAAAACCTCTGTAGCCTCGCGAGCTACCAAACCCGTTACATGGGGCCACCAATGTTTTTTGGGGCATGTGGCTCCAGACTGCATTTCTCAAGCAGCAATTTTCATGAAATACATTCGCGGCATTTATTTACTGAGCTACAATCACCACTCTGAGTCCTATTGAAGTGAAATTCCGTCCATTCATCGCAGATATTTAGTTAAACAATCAACATTGGGGCGAGCTGAGGGCTACGGTAAGTTGTGCATTTAGTATTGACCATTGAAATCGACCACAGCAATGGGGATTTCTAATGCAGCATCAAGGTCAGCAACGTTTCGGCTGGTTAAATGTACAGAGGAGTTGGGAGCAGGTAGGAGGGCTAAGCATGTTTAGTAGGTGGGGACACCAAGTTTTTCGAAGCCGAGAGGTTGAGGAGGTCATTTGTCAGGGCACCCGAGTCTGCTCGTGGTACGTCCGTCTCGCGGCCACCTCGAGGTGTTGGTGGCGCCTGATTAGTGGTTGCGGTGGATGGTCGACGAATGACTCCCAGGTCGGAGGGCAGGCGGCGTGGAGTTACACTAGACCCCAGCCCTGGTGATCGAAGGCCGGAGTTGGGTCGGGAACCAAAGGATAGCCTTCCACTGGTTGAGAGGAGGCGTCGAGCAGCGGGCGATAGCGCCAGCTTGGAGATATGAGGGCTGAAACGAAGAAATTCTTGCGGTGATGTGGTTAATTACAGTGTGCCTTCAGTCAATGGTAGCAAAGAAATATAACAGGTAAAACAGCAGTTACTTCGATGATGTGGAGAGAACTGACTGATAGTGCAAATATTATCCGTCCGCATTTACGAGGCAAAACTATTATGTTAGATAAGTTTTAACAAAAACACAAACACTTTAAAAAAGCGCGGCTGCTATAGCGCTTTAAAGACCAAGATTGAATCAGAAACGGATGCAATTCTAAGGAAACTGACAGCAGAGAAAATTAGTAGATTTCACATATTACGATACAGTTAAAAGGCAAAACTAGCATTGAAATTCTCAACAGAGCGTGAAAAAATCTTTCCAATAGAAGTCAAATACTTTAAACTCCTTAACACTACATCGAACATCAACGCACAGAAACATCTATGAGTCGACATGTTCATGCCTTACCGGGATCTATAGCCACGCAATTTTTTATCAGCTGGCATAGCATAGATTTGATGTAAATAACAATATGGCCCGTGTCGACGAATTCACTGGTTCGAGGTATTACGCACCCTATTTGACTACGAGTGGCAAAGCCTAGGCAAGGAAGAACTTGGTCAGCGGACTGTGACCCACCTCAACAAGCCGTGTTTGGCCAATTTCATTGCCTCAGCACGACCCTTTGCGCGTTGCCTGCCAGCCTTGTCGGCCAGTTCGTGAGCCAGTGCCTCGCGCTTCGACGGTGACGGAAGACGGAAAGTGGCGATTGACGAGGAACCCGATGAGACGACGGGTGTGCGACCAGTGGCCTCATCTAATCGATAGGGTGTTGAGTCGATCTCACCCCAGGTCATCAGGGGTGTGCTTGAACCACCGAAGGCTGACAGAGATGGTGACGGCGAGGCGTCCATGAATTTGTAACTACCGGCGTGTGGAGTCGCTAGTGGAGTTTCAACGCCCGCAACCTCTTTACCGTCAATACCAAATCTTCCCTAAAAAACAATATAAGCTGAACAATTTGTGTATACATTACAAATAATTGGGTTTATTTTACTGGTATTCCGACTACAATCTGCAGGTGAAATAAAGACAGCAAATAAAACAACTGCGATAGAGGGTTGTAGAAAAGTCACTCTGGAGTTAATGTAAACTATTGAAGCGACAGTACAGTACATTTCCGCAGATCGATTTTAAAAAATTTCCCTAAGAGACGACATGAGCTCCACTTACAGCTTTAAGAGCGCCGCCCATGGCGATTATCTTCCGTTTATCCAGAACGGGAGCCATGGGCCGCTTGAACCGACTGTTTGAGGGGCAAATTTTCCTTTCGCGGTTGAAGTGTTCGGTAAGTTCTTCCGCCGTAAGTGGAGCACCGTCAGGAATGAAGTGAACCGCGTTGTGGCTGGTGATACTTTCAACGCTGGGCGCGGGTCCTCGTCTTACGGGTTCTCCGCTAGGGGTGGTTTTAGAGACGACAGACAGTTGCGTTTCAGAAGAATCAGAGCTTTGACCAGCATCTCCAATAGCCAGCGTGGCGCTTGAAGTGTTCCCGGCAATCTGAAAATTATATGAAACAATGAAAATCCAGTTTTTCTTCAATGAGTATGTGTGGGATGAAAAATAACGACATCATCGAAGGTAAAGAATTCAGTAAGCTCAAAGGTGAAAGTAACAACTTGCTCACGGCTAAGTGAGAAACAGGAGGTGACCTTGAAGGAAAAAAGTCAGCCAATTTAGCCTCTCGTTTTCGTTCCGATTCTTCAATAATCTCAATAAAGGAAGCATTGTCTTCGGTTGTGTTGTTAGCAAGATACTTGTCCAATCTAACCGAAGTTGGATCTAAAACAGCGCAAATGCGTCACTAGATATCTCCGCCATGAGGCGTTGCGTTTGAAGATTAGAAAACTCAAAACAACAGGTGTAATGCAATACCACGTGGGGGATTTTGAGTCGGAGGACCAGAGGGTGTTTGAGAACCGTCGATTGTTTCACCAGCAGGAGCTTCCCCCTTGAGTTCGGCCAAATCGGGGAAAAAATCACGCTGAATGATTTTACCAATGTGCTGGAGAGAAAAAAGGCGCATAAACAGGAAATTAGTGAGATTATGCATTGTCAAATACAGCCAAATAGAGTAAGAGATAAAACGGTTACTATGTCGTCAAGACATTAAAAAAATTCAGGGAAATGAAGATCACTGAAAACCACAGATATATGCTCGATAAGTCTCTTTCTTAATTACACAGAAAATGGTGCTTCACAAATTTATGATATCATTGTCCAGCAAGGGCTTCCTTTAGCGAGATATGCACTATTAAAAGAGTGAAATGTCAGAGGCAAAAATCACGAGACTGATCTCCTACATGCAACACAGCGCGGAATAAACTTGAAATTTCAAAACAACATTCAAAAATATAACGGCTATCAGATGTCAATGGTCGTCAAAATCGGGTTAAGAAGGAGAAAAGGGTTTCAGCTTTAGTTGTTTATAAAATCAAAATACCACATAAAACAAAGGCGCAAAAACGTAACGCTCTGCATACATGTGCATGATAAAACAACAACGAAAAAGTGCACAACTCAGAAAACTTCGATAAAAAAAGCACAACGAAGCTCAAATGAATAAGTTGTGTTCAACAACTGCTTGGAAATTAAACCGCAATATCAGCCTACACTAAGGTATTCATCCTCTGCACGCACAGTCTGTCGTACGACCTTCTGTTGTGTTTTACTAAAAGTCACCAACTGCTTTGTTCCGTTATCGGACGAGACAATGTGTGCCGATTTCATTCCAGACATGGGGCACACCGTATTTGATTACACCGCATTAATAGCAGTATAAATAAACAAGACTAAATCTCATGCTTAATAACTGAGAAAGGCCATCTAATGCTCAACCGAAATCATTAAGAAAAAAGTTGCTAAAGGAAAGCTTTTTCTGGAATCCCCGTATTGATTATGCTGTGAGACTTTTGTTTAACACCCCTAAGGTCTCTGAGGTGTATTTAAGTTTGTATGTAGAATCTGTGATCACCTGTCACCTTCGTTTATTTTGTGAATTATTTACCTTCTTATTCTTGGGCTTTCATTCATTTTACTATCCTTGCAAGGAACAAGTAGCTTGATGTTTTAGCGTTTGTCCTGTGTATTTGATTTGCCAATAATGATAAATAAAGCTGGAATCTTTCGTTTGTAACTTTTATATCATAGTATTAGCTTTTTACTGCCTACTGTCTCTTCTCTGTGAGGGGGAGGTTCTTTGGACAAAGTGTTATATAAATTTGGTAAATTTTTGCGTATTACCTTAACTCATGTTATGCAACTTTGCTTGTTTTGGGTTCATTCGTCGATTGATGAAGACATTGTTAAACAGTATTAAGAGGATGCTTTAACTCAGCACTGTCACATGAATTTCTTCGATTTAAGGTTATGTGTATTATGTACTATTTATAAGAAAGGTGTTCCATATTTCGAAAAATTGTTCTCGGGGTAGCATCTTACGCGTACGTTCACTTTTCGAGCTTTTCAGCCATTTGCCTAATAGTCACACACCACTCTTGTTTACACCAGCAGGTGCTGCTGCACTTAGATGAGTATGCCTAAGATGCGACAAAATTACGAGTCCTTGCCAATCAATTTCCTTTTTCTTTACTAAAATCATCCCCTTTTCAAGCCACATCAAAGTATGGAAAAACTCTCCTCGTCATCACTTAACTTTTGTTATCGTATATATATATATATATATTCCTTGTAGTCCCTGTAATTAACTTTTATCCTTTCAAATGTTCACTTATTACCCCTTTTCCCTGAACCAGTTTCAGCGTTCAAAATTTCCTGAACCATATCTTTGACATCTTTAACCTGAAATGGAATGCTTACTTTTCAACCTTGACTAATTTTCTTTTTTTTCATGTGAGGCAAATGCTTTTTAATCTCTCTGCTGACATAGTCGCTACTTTTTATTATCAATTTGTGGTTAATTGAAGTAGGAGTTGTACAATTCGCTGTTTCGTCATTTCAAATTGTAATATCCTTGAAATTTACACCAAATGCATTTCCTAATAGTCTCTGGTTAGCCTTAAATTTGGACTTGTTGAATTTGTCATTTTATAACTAGAGTTGGTAGTCTCTTGCAAAATGGTTTTACATTATCTCTACCTGTCATTTTTTCGTGTCAATCATTACCAGCTAAAGTCGCATTAAATGTTTGTTTCAATGTTCCGCACAAAGTGATTTTCGAAGTTAAAAATCATAAGATAATATAACTGAAATATTTACTGAGAATTGGTGTGCTCTCTTCCCAATGATGTGTTTGCCACGTCTTCACCCATGTCTGCCACTCTGAGGTACAGCTATTTTCTCGGATTTGAACTTATCAACTTACCAGGTACTGTTTTCCGCTAGAACTAATAGATCTTCCTGTATAGATGTGTTCATTTTATTGTCGATTTTAACTTTGAAGTGGCGTATACGGATCGCCCTGTCTGCAATACCACTCATTTGCCTGATGATGTGGATAGCTTAAATTGATTTTAGTTAATCACTTCATTCGTATAAGCATTTGTAAACAAACAACGTGCAAAACAATTTCATTAGATAATTTCACATCTAAGACTAATATGTAGATATTACGCTCTCCTGTCGACTAATGCAGCCACTTTTGTTTTCGTTGGATGTGTATCAGAGTAGTTAATCTTCGGATAAACTGTCTTTTTCAGCTAATGTTGACCCCACTGTTTTCGCTTACTCAAACTGACGAAGAGCTCACACTGAAACTCCACATCCCCCTGGCCGATCTAAGCAATTCTGAGTTCCTTCTTGAAGATGGGGTGGCCTATTTCTCTGCACCGCCCTACTATTTACGGTAAGTCGTTCTTCATCGCGCGCGCTCATGACTAGTTAGACTTGAACTTCCGGGCTCGGTCGTTGAAGACGATGATCACATCGAGTTCAACCTCGATGCTGGCGACATGTTCATTTCAATGAAGAAGAAAACTCCTGGCGAACACTTCGATGACTTGGATCTTCTTTCAAAATTAATGGTCAATTCCCAGTCTTCAAAGAGCGTTTCCAAACCAGGCATTCAGGAATTGGATTTAAATATTACGCCAGAAGGTGAAACCGAGTATGATTGGTTTGTTGAACCGCCAACAGCTGAACACGATGACGACGACGATGTCACCTCTACTGAGGGTGATCTCGAAGTAGGGATAAAGCATCCATATGGATTTGCAGGCTCAAAGAATGGGCTATGTGGTGATAAGGTGAGAACACTAGCCGTTGCGCTCGTTTGCAGCCACCTTTACGCAGAACTTGAATAATTAATGGGCGTTTTGACATGGTGACCCGCTCAAATCAAGCACTTTATTTCAACCAAGTGTGCGACTGTTATCAATTTCTATTTTAGCCCGAAATTTGTTTACCAATCGATTTGCCAAACCCCGATTTTTGTCCTCCTGAGAAGCGTCATAAATTGCAACTACAATCTGTAAAGGATCACTTTGATCCGGAGCATTATATGTGAGTTTGGCATTGTACCACCTTTACGCGCATGTTTCATCTTTCTGCCAAAATTATTTCCTGTCGTTCTACACTGACATCTAGTGCCGACTTTTGCGAAACCGAGGCCACAGCCGGAGCACTCAGTAACTTCGCCCCGTGGTTGGCTGAAGAGGGCGACCGTCCCACCTTCACCGATGACCATCGATATCGATTGACTGTGCTCTCCACCCACCCTCTGCCTCTCCTTCCTCCGCTCCCCTCTCCAGCCGATCCGACCAATCACGTTGAGGGGACAAGGACATTCGTGTACCTGGGTCTTGCTGATCTTCTCCTCGCTTACACCCACGACTACTACGTTCGAGAGGGCGATGACAACTCGGAATCTGCGTGGATTATCGCCAAGGTGGCCGCAACTTTGTCCTGGCTCGAGGTAGACTGGAGTACTCATTTATGCACTACTACCTTCTTCTCTTCCTCCTAATACTCATTGCTGTAATCGATTATTAGAGTGTGTACTGGGTGGTTGTGGTTAACTGGAATTTCTCCATTGTTTTTTAGTTTTTCCCCAATGTAAAAATTCTTTTGCGGTCTTTCTATGAACGAGCGCTCTCCTACCCGCTGATTCGGAATTGGCGGCTCTGTCGCAAGGTCCAAGCTGACGTTGGCGCTCTCTTTCAACACAAACATGGTCTGTTTACAAACAAATGCTTCTTATATTATTGTAATAACACTTGTTTTTCATTCGAATCATCATGAGATTATAACCAACATCTTTGTCTCTAACAGCTAAATCATGGATTCTCTTCGTCCTGCTGGAAATCCGCCGTCTCCTCATTGATTACACCGGCTACTACATATTTGTTGACCTCTTCCTTGACGATTACATCGTGTGGCTTCAAAAATCCGCGAGGTAGTTTGATATTATTACGCTTTTGCAAATCACGCAACTCCCGTAGGCACCACTTTCGTAGTGTAGAGTGGTTTTAGTGTCTAATAACAACTGCAGCGACCTTCACATCCAATAAATTATCGCACTCAAATTGAGGTTTAGCCAATGGGGTGAAGGTAAGACGGGGTGTGCGGCCAATGCGAGGCCAATATGTGGGGTAGATTGGTGCGAAAACGTTAAATTCAAAAATTGGACAATGTCACTTGTTTGTGGACGTTCCAACAGGGCAACAATGCCATAGATGGACATCCGAATATCGGCGTTTAACTGGGGTTTTCCAAATCCTAGCAATGACTCAGAAGCCAGAAGACTTCCTTGAGGCTTTTGTGCCAGCTAGAATCGCAGGCGATGCCAGTCAAATACGTCACCAATTGTCGGCAAAGCCGCTAACAGCGCTATGGTGTTTAAAGCAACCGTATTTAGGTTGTAACACGCATCTTATAACCACGTAAACCGTCTGTCCAGACTTGACGATTCGGTAGTCATGGGGTTACGTTATCTTCTCCATCGGTGTCATGTGCTCGTGGCTTTGTTTTATCTTCTCTCTAGCACCTACGTTTTAAATCACTTGGGAGCGGCCATCGAATCGGTAAGTTGGGCGTTTCGAACATCGACTTTGTGGTATTTGTCTTTTTGTATTACCCAATGAAAATACGTCCTAGTGCACGCCCTTCCCAACTGTCTCCGTCTTGACAGCGTTAGTCACACTGTGGCATAGTTGAGCTCTTCGATCATCGGTGTACATACATATTCACAGAAGATAAGTCACTGGCCTTGTAGAACTGCCCTTTCACCAGTATTCATTTTCCTACCTTAAGTAAGGCTGGGTGTTTTGTGTGTCAGTAAACCTTGTATCATGTGTCTTCCAATGAATGCACACTGACTTGAAACCAATTTTTCTGGTGCGTCTTCTGATTGGGCAATTGAGTTGAGTGGTGAATTCTTAACAAATCCACTCCCCGTGAAGACTGTAGCTCCATGTCTAATCGTTGCTCCCCTGACTTCTGAAACATCCGATGATTGGGCTAAGTTTAAGTTTCTTTTTTCTAGTCCCACATAATTGATCTGTTTGTCTTATCTTCGAATGTATTCTTTCCTCACACGACACTTGACAGTCTCCATTTCAGCCAATTTATTTTACCTTTGTTTTAGTTGGAAATGAAAAAATCGGATGTTAATTTGCCACTTCAAGTGCTGGAGGATTTGAGCGCCGAAATTTTGGAGTCGGAGAAGCTGACGAAGAATCTGGGAGAGATCACCTTGAAATCATAATCAGTTAATAAAATTTGTATTTTTATAACCACGTCATTCTCACCAATCATCCTTTCCTCGGGGTATTCGTTATTTTTATATTGAAATTGTCTTCTTGGACTTGTAAATGCTAAGGGTCTTAGGTGTTGGACCAATCCAGCGTCAGTGGCTGCTGCTTTGCTATTGCACGGGACCAATCGATTTTAGTCAATGACCAATACGATTGCGCCTTTTTATTGGCATAGATGCTTTAATCTGATTGGCCAATTCGGCAAAGTACCTGTTAGACACTCTTTAACCTTCACAGCCGAGTCGCAACCCCAGAATTGTGTCTTTTGATCACGGTAGTCCTGTCTAATGACTCGATTTTGAAAATTATTAGTCAGAAAGACAGATGAAGTCCGCGTCAAACTTGATTGGTTCGCTTGCATAAATTACAATTCGAATTTTGAAGTGCATGTTATATTCTAATCGGCTAGGTTGCGAATAGCTACGAGAGTTTTAAACGTGGCTCAGTTCATGCACGATGCAAAATAGGGGAATAAACTATCGTTTTTGAGCCTTGTATCCGAATAAACTGCTTATCAGTTTCTGGTTCTATATTGATAAAATTAACAATGATGTTTCTCTGGAGCTAATATTTTTGGAATTCTTTAATTGGAATATTTCCGATCCAAAATGTGTGTAATCTGTTCAAATTCTGGTAACAATGACACCATCCCATAACGCATCTTTAGGATGCTGCTCTTAGATGTTTGCATCAAGCTGTCTGGTAAACGTAGATTTCGACTCAAAATTTGACAATCAAAATCGGTCGTTTTCAGGAAAAGTTTAAGGCCGTTCCTGTAGCACTGACTTTAAAATGTCGATTCCAAGAAAATGCTAAAAAATTGAGGTGTGATTTGTGTAAGAAGGTAGCATGGCGCGTAGGCTGTCACTGAGATGTCATCAGAACTCCCGAAGTCCATGCTTGTATGGAGTTAAAAATTTGTGTTAATTCTGCATCAAGCCAAGCCTGCACACCAATCCCAAATTATGCTCTAGGGATTGCTTAAACTAGTGTATGTAACTTGATGCTCGATTTTTTTAACTAAGAACTAATCTTTCTTCGGGAGATATCTCTGCTATCGCAAGGCAGACTTGGTGCTAATCAGTGTTGGCATTCGCTTTGGCTGTGAGCATTAACTGGCCAGTAGTCCAGGCTGAAAAATAAGAATAGGGAAAAAAAATGCAGAGATCATGCATCGCATAATCAGTTAACCGATGTGCCATTCCAAAAGAAAATGTTGACCATAATGCTTGTGCATAGAAATAATACCTCGCTAATTAATGACAAAAATGTGGCCCACATAACGAAGAAAAGCAATTTTTTTTAAGATTCAAGGTTTGATGGCAAATGGTAAAAGTGGGCAGTAGTGTCTGTTAATTTCGTCCAACTTGGTGAACCACTGACCTTTTTTTCGTGCATCGGCTTGCACTAAATACTCGGACTTTAACTTAGCGGAAATTCGATGTTAATAATACGGAAGTATGAAAACGAAAGATAAAATGATGGTTTGTACGAAGTCGACGCAGGTTTTTGTTTTTTTTAATGATCAATTCAGATAAAGGAATAATTTAGACGAAATGTAAATATTTTTTTGCCTAAAACAAGATTTTTACCACTTTTTTGCCGAATAAAAATGTTGATGGATATTTTGTTGATCTTTAGTCCTAAAGACCTTTTTCAATTTATAAATTAACAGAGCTGATACTGGTTTTGCCGTATTAAAACGTCTGCAAAGTTTGATAATGAACACCTGCTTACTGTATGATCCGCGCTTCCAGAGGAATATGCCTAGGTGTTTAGGTGTGTTTGCTAGGCCGAGATGATGCTGAAACCTTTTATTGTATAGATTATTATATTTATATAAACAGTGCGATAATATCGCTTCTTCGGTCTTTTAACTAGACGGGTGGGCTTTAGTGACGAAGAATAATTTTAATTTAAAGAAATGGATTAAGTTTGTTATTCGATGCCCCAAAATTAGGCCTATAATATGTGTAAGTTATTGTGAGAACTTCGATGAAGAGAGGGGTATGCAGCGTGATCGTTGTTAAACTCGACAATTATTTATTATAATCCGGCTACGTGCTGTAATAGTGTAAAAATTTACATTCATTTTCAGTAATAACTATTACATGTGTCCCTAACTACAGATAAATTCTGTTGTTACTAATTTAAATTAAAATATTGCCAATGATGCATAAAGGAACAAATAAAGTAAACATATTACAGGACTGTGCTATTTGACCAATATACATCACAATTGCAATACGAACAAATCAATTTATCGCGTGATGCTTTTGTCAGATTATCTTAAGAAGTGATTTTAAAAACAAGACTTAAAATATGCAGCAACGTGTTACAAATCACATATTAGTACCTTTTATATATTTGGAAAAAAATCAATAAGATTATTTGGGCTAATTTAATTATTAAGAGACAAAATCAGTATTAGATAACCCATCACAACCTCAGGAAGAAAGTTGTCAAAAAATTGCTTCGTTAGGGGTTTGGCAAGTTTTTTTTTAATAAAGTTAGAAATGAATCAAATTTTATGGATTAATCTTTGCGGTATTTTGATAACCAGGGTTATGACATCCATCTCATATACAAGGTCAACTTGCTTTACCTAAACATTATCGTTTAATGTTTTTAGCACTTATGAGAATTCTAGGCCTGACATGTGTTGGTTTTCAAGGTTTTTATTTTGCTAATGTGTTAAAAAATAACGAGTTTCAACCAATTGTCAATTGCGCGGTCTTCGAATTAGTGTGTATGCACTCTTAAAAAATGCGTCGATCTGCTGCGCCAAGCGCTTTATCACAAGTATGTTGCTACCGGATCTTTATTTTTTCAATTGTTAGTGATGTTTCTGTGGTTTATAGTTTTTTTTGTTAGAAATTCGCAACTGTGCTACATTTCCGTATCTGTATGCGGATTGCTATACTAGCTCCCCTATTTTATCATCACAAATCAACCCTAGATTATGATCTGAGAGCATTTATGCAAATTTCACATGGCAGGCATGTTAAGGTTTACTTTTGCAGGATATTTAGGAAGGATCTAATTGTATTTTATACAAGGTGGTTTGAATGCTGACTTTGTTAATGCTTTATTTGAGCTATTCCTCCGGATATTTTACGTCACAACTACTTTACGTGCAGTGAAAGGTGGGGTTTCCTCAGTAGCAATGTCTGTCGAGATTTATCTGTGCCGGACAGGAAAATTTGCCTGCCTTTGCTTTCAGCACCCCAAAATGCCCCAGTGCCCTTACTGGAATATTGGCTGAGATCGAGTAACAAAATTGCTCATGGATTTCCTCTTTGATCTGAAGTCACGTTGAAATCGTGGAAGATTCAACTCTGGACCACTAAACTGATTTCTGGTCCGTAGATGTGTCTGTGTGCATTCTTTAAGTGCCTTCGAATTTCCGTTGTATTTTTTTGTCATAAGTCACTACAGCAATAAGAACTATATCAGGTTTATCGTGTGATATCTTTCAGTATGCTAGGTATGTTCGTTTTTTGTGCAAAATTTATCTTGTTAAACATCTTAATTTTGTATGTTATGTATTTAAGAATATTTATGTGACAAACACACGAAAAATTAGCTAATTTCCGCCCAGTATGGGCCGCCGCATAGACTTTAAGTTATCCACTTCCCCAGAAGATTGGTCGGCGTTGTTATGCGCTTGCCTCCTTACATATGCCGTTCTATTCCATCCCCTTCACTTAATTATTTTACTTTAGGGATTTAAGCGGCCCAATTTTGATATGAGTAAACCAACTACTCAGTCCGTTGTAAAACATCAAATTCCTGCACCTTCGCGACAAATTCTACAACCAATTTCACTCGATACCAACTCTGACTCTCAACAATATGAAATTGTGTATGCAAAACGGTCTACTAAAAAGGTTAGTCATCGGTCTCCTTATGCGTCATAAAATCTGTCTACAGCACAAAAAATGGGAGAATGATGGTAAGGCGGTGGTTTAAAGTGACCCAATTTCCCTCTCAGGTTTCCTGTTAGTGTCGGGTGTGCAGGTTAAAATCAACTCAATTGAGGGCAAGACGTAAATCCGTGTTTCTCCTTCCCATATTTCTCACTCTTAGCATAGCATCCGCTAATTTAAAAGCAGCTGTGGTGAACTCCTTGGAGATTGGGATGGTGTTGGTGGTGGGTGGATACGAATGTCAGCTGATAGCCCTGCTTTCTGACCAATCCGAGACCAGAGTTCCTCCCATTGAGCCGCAGCCGACTGTATTGGCACCTAAATTGCCGAAATCACTTAAAACTGTATGCTCCATCACCTCTTCTCGTTAAGTAGTAACTTGTGTAGCAGTGCGGAAGGCCTCAACCGATACAACCAGACGATAATGCTTTTGTCCTGCCCCGCCCTCCTAACAATCACATGGTAGGACCAGAGTACCTAATCCTTACCCCCATACACAGTGGGCGCACAATCCAGAGGGCCTAGAAGTTACTGACGTTTTTCTCAGCGGACGTCTGGCCACAAGGCTCCACGCCTATCAGTTGCAGGGAATTCGATTTCTCTACGAATGTGTCCTTGGATATCGGAAAGCAGAAACCCAGGATGCCTTTGAATTGCACGAGGAGGATATATATGGTGGCATTTTAGCGTAGGTTGATGCTGGTCTTCGCGACGACGCTGTTTTTTTTTCTCTAGAGATGAAATGGGCCTAGGGAAGACGGTGCAGGTGATTGGATTGCTGGCAGTTTTGTTGAAACAGGGCCCCTATGGTGGCAGACCCGTGGTGCGGCGCTGTCTGATTGTCACGCCAGGCAGTCTTGTTGGGGTAAGTCGCAATGCCCCGATCACTTTCTCTTAGAATTGGCAGAAAGAATTTAACAAGTGGACAAACCGTGTGAACATCACTACTTATTGCGTCAGTCAGGATAACCCAATTAAGGCCTACTTCTCACAGATGCGACCTCCTCCTGTAATCATTATGTCCTACGAAATGCTCATTCAGAACTCCTCTCGCATGACCGAACTGGCGAATCTGGACCTGGTGGTTTGCGATGAGGGTCACCGTTTGAAGAATCTAGGAATCAAAACCACAGCGGTTAGTTGGTTCATACTTTGGAATGGGTAGGTGTAAAGGTTGACAGGTCGTAAAAATTGACGTAAAATCTTTCCACGTTGAAATGCTCCTAGTAACGCCAGGCTTTTGAACTCAGCTAGATTCAATGTGTGGTCGTGACCGTTCGCTCAGGCATTGGCTGTCATCCCATTGTCTTCATGTCTTTGTTAGGTTCTTAAGAAGTTGCCGGCTCGTCGACGAATCATCCTCACCGGAACGCCGATTCAGAACGACCTCACGGAGTTCTGGTCTCTAGCCGAATTCGTCGCTCCTGGCTGCCTGGCCGCCAGCCGAGAGGAGTACCGTGAGCGCATAGTGAACCCTCTTTCCAGATCTCCGCATCCCACTGAACTCTTTCAGACCATCGCCACCACTGATGGACAAGTCTCCGAAGTAGAAACGACTGAGGTTGTGGAGGCAGCTCAGCGCTTGAAGAGGGCTCTGGGAATTTTCCTGCTGCGACGAACGTCTGATGTTATTTCGCGCCGACTACCAAGCAAAGGTGTGTCGCAGTTGCCAATGCACAATCTTTTTTGTGCCTACCTACATCGATATAAGTATGCGTGTTTTTATCTGTCTAGTTGAACAAATAGTCTTTTGCGAGGCCTCGGATATCCAGCGCGAACTGCAGGCTGTCATGCTTAAATGGGTGGAATGTCAGCTGGAAAACGAAGAAAACAATGTGGACTTTGGGAAACCCCCCGCATTTCTTGAAATTGACGAAGATTCGCTCGACACGCCTCATCCAGCCGATGAAGCTGATGATTACGATGATGCAGGCGTGGGCGGTGCTGGCGTACTGGCTTGTATAATGGCCTTCAGGAAGATCTACAATCATCCATCTCTGCTGTTCGAGGCTCTGAAGCAGCCGCATTCCCGGAAGCAGGTAGCATTTGCCAAATAATTGGCCACTAGCCAGTTGTCAAAACCCTTATCATCTAACAAAATCTCGCAGAACTTGCTGCTCTAGGCTGTTTCTAGTCCCTACTAATCGATATCTGTAGTTTGCAATTAATTAGAAGTTGTTCAACAATTATAACATGCGCGAAAAAGATTGTCGTTTTCATGCCTCCGCAATTAGCAATGCTGTGGACTTATATCAGCACTTCTCACATTGACTCGCATGTGTACTTTTACTGTAATTACCCAGAATCTACCTTTTGACGTATTTGGATCGTATCATCAAAGGGCGCCTCAAGTGCCACCTAAAACGACGCTGTTGTGACCACCGTATTTGGAATGTCACTGCTCAAGTGTTCACGAGTAATCAGCATCTGGGTGGTAGCGATGTGCAGCCAAAACCACTCCAAATCTCTTCTTACTCATTTCGCCTCACACAAACACAATTCACACTAAAGACCCACCTTGACAGCGAGCGAGAATTCTAGCGTTGTTGTAACCACCTCTGGAATTTCGCCCGTTGAGATTTGTGCACGTCCGAACCAGTAGTCCCCCTAGAATGTCACCTTCGTCGTCGTCGTTTACTGTCCTGGCGCAATGTGTGGTGTCTGTCGTGGTACTAGTTCAGTCTCTTTGCTTCAGTCCCTCCCCAGTGGCCTAGTGGGAAGTCTGCGTGACCTCCTCCACCAGCGACTCCCTCCGACCGAGAGGAGCGCCTGTTCAGCTTCTGTGTGTCGAACCTCAGGAAAGCTGGCGGTTCTCCAGAGCCTGCTGGCTGGAATCTTTCGGATGCCCCCTGACCCCATTTCGCGCGGTGGCAGCCATCGCCTCGTTCTCGTCTCCAATTTTACCCAGGTGAGTATATTTTGTGCTGACTGGAGGGCTCCACAGGCTGTGTAATGAGTTATCGCGATTTGGAATCGTGAATGTGGCCTCTTGATTTCGGTCGTTTGCCCTTTTGACTCCAGCAAAACGATGCAATCGTGTAATTCTTGAAATTGCCGTCGTTGATTGATAACTGGAGTTAAAATCGCCGTAAATCCAAGTTTCCGAAGATGCTTGTCAATCGATATGGACAATTATTCCTGCATTTGTGCGTTTTTAACTAATTTATGTGAGGAGCATGCGTAATAAGTTAAATTTAAACAAGCCTAAGTTGACAATCCAGCAAAACATGGTAATTCTAAAGTGCCTGGTCACTCCCTTCTGTTGGTAACATCCACAATCCCTAAGAACTTTCCTACCAGGTGTATACTGAGGCTGTTTGTGAATATTCTGAAGACCTCGTAAATCCATCCACCAATCAGTGTTTGAATGCAGCGCATGGAATATCTCTCTGATTCGAAAGTTCAGTAATCAGCATCGACATCATCGTGAGTCGATGTGACCATAACCACAAACACCTGGTAGTGTCCAAGTACAGCCCAATTGTGTGTGAATTTATACAGTTAGGCGGGCTTATTCCCTCTTATGCCTTTGCATACACATCAGCGCGGTTGTTGTGTCTAGGCGTTGGCATTATTCGACCCCATCGTCTTCACACCCACAAACCTGCCGTTTCACTTCTCAGTGAATCGAAGTACTTGAACTTGAGGCTTCTTCGCCTTATTCTATTTGTGGTGTCGTCAAGTTCTCTCTCAGACATGTGGATTTTCACTTCACTCCGGCAAGAGTACGATTGCGCTGCCAACGAATAACGTCGCAACAGACAAGCAACTCAGTCGCATGTTCCACTCTTTCGCAGGAATCGCCAAAGTGTGTGCTCCGATGACACATTTTAGCACCTCTTGTGTTGTGTGTGTGTGGAAGCGTTTTGCTACTAGTATCGTTTTTTTGTGTAACAAGAAATATTGCTGGAGGGACTATGCGGGTAACGTGTGTACTGAAAATTACAGCAATCAGCCAAACTATAATTTTCTTTGTAGCTTCGCTGTCACCACCCACCTAGCAAACATCCCACGTAGTTGTGATGTTACGGTGGTCCGTGATATCACGTGAGCCACCACTTCCGTGTCATTATTTGACTCCGCACTTCTTGACACATGATTCCAAGTTTTGTTCTACTGGAGACCGAGGTTTGGATTTTTGCGGAGTGTGTTGCCGTAGTCGGCAGCGACAACTCCATTGTCGCGTTGTTTGCGATTGATGCCGTCAAAATAGCCCGATTCATTTGTTTTTGTGCGCTATTCAAAGGCACAGCTGGTGAAAGCATTTTGATCCGGTTTTGCGATTCTCGGACACTTTTATTTCCATCTAGACTCTGGATCTCCTGGAACCGATCTGCCAGAACGTGACGATGGCACCTTGTTTACGCATCGATGGTAAGACTCCGACCAAGCAACGCATCCAAATCGTCGACCGCTTCAATTCCCCCACATGCGTCGAAAGTGGGTTCCCCTTTTATCTAGCCCTCCTTTTGTTACGTTTTGCCATGGTGAATTTAGTTTTTGTGGTTAGTGAGTTGGAGCAAAGGTGTGTTCATAATTAGCAAGATTTAGGCAAACATTAATCAATGAACTGCATTACCAGGGTGGAGATCCTGCTTGCGTCGCAACTCTGCTTGCTCGCCACTAAAATTTCCCAACAATACAAAACAAAAAAACTTCAATTTGTGTCCGCGTCTCCCCGTGTTCCGTGCGAGCAAGTCGGCTGCAATTCTAAATCCCCTTTAAACCAGGCTCTCGTCTTGTTCGCAAAGACTGACCCCAGATGACGGGCAGTGGTCTTTTGATGGTTTTTCATTTGCTCGGTTCGCCCGAACATTTATTTCCAGATTTAGTAGGGTAGTGGGGAACTTGAGCTGTGGCCTTTAATGTCTTAATTAAATCGGATAACCAACAGCCTGTTTTTGTGCCTAAATTGCAACTCTTTTCCCCTCAAGAAGTCCTCTTGCTCAGCTCGAAAGCCGGTGGCACGGGATTGAACCTTATCGGAGCCGATTACCTGGTGCTCTTCGACATTGACTGGAATCCTGCCACTGACGAACAGGTACTCTGATTCTTACTTGGCTCGCTCTTGGCCTACTTGCAGTCCCCAGCGTTTGCACATTCACAAACGTCTGTTGAAACCGATTTGGATAAAACTCCGATAAGTACCGTCCTATTTGAATTGAAATCCGTAAAATATCAGAGCCCTGAGGTCATTCGTAAGAGCATTGCGCTCCACACCACCGAAACACGAATTATGCGCCAAGAATAGGCTTGTTGTGTAAGGTTTTTATATCAAACTGCAGCCACGTTTTTCTTCGGAACCGAAAGCATAACAGTCCGCTACCGACCTCATTCTCGCAAAAACGTTTCCCATCTTGCTAATATCGAGACAGTTTTGTGTGGTTGAGGGGAGTGGTATTGCGATTGTGTCCACGCGCAGTACATAACAATTGACTGAAGTCGCATTTGATTTGTTGTTACAAATCGCGCGCACTGTTAAACGCCGCTGTCGGCTTGTTTTACAACTCTCGGCACAAAATCGACGCCTTTGTGGCCGCTATTAAACAACATGAAGCAGGGAGATCGTGCATCACACGTAATGGACTTTCAATCCATGCGAAAATAACGAAAACCAACAAGTACGTGATTAGCTGGCTCAATTAAATCTTGTAGGTTGAAACAACTAGACTAAACTATCTAGTAGACGGCCTTCCCAAATTATTTTGCGCAGAATAGTTTGGCTGCAATGTGGCTCAAGGCCTCATATCTTGACTTCCACCAATCATCGATGGCCTGTCAAAAATCGATACTAAGGTTTCCCTTTAGTCAAAGAATTGTAATCGTCATTGTTTGTTGAGTTGCTCAACTACTTGTGGCCTTTCACCTGGCTGCTTTTCTCTGTCATTCCATCCAATCACAGTAGCGTGTTAGCAGTCGTTAACGTAAATTTAATTTAATCTATCGACACGTTTGCGTACTGTAAACGTCAGAAATTTATACTTGTTCGTTGATAACCTCTAACAGAGCCTCGAAAGTCGCGTCTCACAACATCTCAACTCAACTATTGTTACCGTATTTGGTCCACGGACGTTTCATTCGTAGAACCGCACTAGTAAATGTCAACAATTTCCACTTAATGACCTTGAGTTGAGTTTGACCAATCAAATCGAAAGGCGCCGGCGAAGACAGGTACATTTTCTTCCGAACTCGACTCAGGGGCACCACATGTTAATGGCAATTTAAAAACTGCAAATTTTAAAAAAAACATCTGACCTTAACTAATGTCTCGGAATTGATTTTCAGTTAGGGTTTGCATTTTCTTTTCCTCACACACGCACCCACCATTACAAACACGTCTTTCGAGTTATTTAGCGTCATTGTCAGGATCGGGTGCTTCCCTCTACGGGGTCAAAGTCCACGTAAAATCCACCGTCCAGTTTCTACGCCAAGCCCCCTCTTTGTCTCATTTCCTAGGCGTTAGCGCGCATTTGGCGCGAGGGACAGAAGCGGCAGGTCCACCTCATTCGCTTGGTCACCGCCAACACGCTGGAGGAGCGCATACTCCAGCGCCAGATCGCCAAGTCGTCTCTGGCCAACACGGCCATGTCTCCCGTCTCGTCTTCCAACAAGCGGACCGCCTCGCTTACCCTAGATGAGCTTCGTGTCAGTGCTATTATCGTTTCCCCACTACTACTGCTCCTCGTGTTCAGCAATTCTAGGGCGCTTGTTTAAATTGACGAACTGAAGTCGATGCCTCCTCAAAATAATTGATGAGTTTCCCATTGAAGGTGGAACAAAGGTCATTGGTTAAGGGTACACTGCTGATACAAGGTTGATAATGCAAGTTGTGTCTCTGTACTTTGTTGAGACACGAAGTCGTTTAACCAGAGTTCGGTTAAATTGTTTCCGAGATTGGTTAAACCGAATAGTCCTTGTTATTTCCTCCTATTTGGATCTACAGGCCTACCATGTTGGCAACTTAAGAATTCTTAATTCTTCGTGAAATTAAGTTGTAAATCTCCACAATGTTGGCGGCAGTTATACTCTCTCCGTGTATCTGTGCCGAAATTCTGATCACGGAATCTAGTCTCTAGTTCATAAAACCTAAATTAATTTCTATTTCCCAACGACTTTAATCGGGCCTCTCGTATCTGCTGATCTATCAAACTGATCTGCTAAATTTTATCTCAAGCTGTGGTGATGATTTGGCGTTCTTCAAGCTTCACTAGTCTGTTTATGTTGACGCGGTGTGTAGAAAGTATTTCACATGTCGACGAATGCTACTCGAAATCGCATGTTTGAAGATATTACGTGCTCCTTCATTCTTCCTGCGAACCTTCCGCGTGCTCGTGCTACTCACAAAGTTGTCAAGTTCGTCAGCCGACTGCATTGTTGACACTTCACGTTGAAATCCAGCTGTCTGAGTGTAAACGTGCTCTTCTTTGTGCTGCTTCTCACTCACTTCCAGCCCATCTAACTCCACAGTAATTTAAATCACAGCAAATGGTTTGGTTTTTTTTTCATGTCAAGTGCATAAAGAAATAAGCGTCTTTTTTAACTTCAATGTGAAAGGAACTGTTCCAGCCGTCACCCTGCGAAACCACCTGCTGGACCCACGACCTCCTGGGCTGTCGCTGCCATCTTCCCAATGTGGACAACGACTGTCACCAAAGTGCTCCGTACTCCCATGCCAGCAGTGACGATGAAGAGGACTTGCGCACTTTCCAGATCGGAAGACCACGCAAGCGCCCGAAGACGGGCAGCGCGTCGCCAATCAATGCGGCTCCGTGTTCAGCCAGAGGCCTCGGTCAGATTAGCACCTGGAGGCATCTTCTGACACCCGAATCCATCAGCTCCGCCTCGCCCCTGCTTGTCTCCAGTAAAATTAGAGCAGTCTTTCAGCACATCACAACGTCTGACATGACCTAGTCGTGTTTCCTTTTTTCCCCAGGTTGTAAATCAAATGCGTTTAAAGCGTCCGTTTTTGTTTGAATGCTTGCGGTATATTTCGAAATCAGAGCTTACAAATACACTTGCTGTGTACAGAAAAGCGGCCCTGCTCAACCAATCACTGTGCGCCTTCAGTTAATCGGAACCGCACACTGCAAATTGTTGAATCATCAGTTGGTGTGCGGTGGCAACGTTTAACACGTCAATCAAAATTTGACCAAGAAATTATCCGTGTAGTGCCAGAGCACATCGGTCGTGCTGCTCAAGTTGATTTATTTTCCGATGCAAATCAGCCTCTAAAGTTTTCGCTAATGTCTTGTGAGCAGACAAATGCAGCCAAGGTAATGCTTTCCATCATCTGGCTATTGTTGTACTTTTAACCCATCAACCACTAACAAGAGCTTGGTTGCAAAAAACCCGTAAGCACTCTAGACTGCGTGGTAGGTTGTAAAATTTTGGGAGTCAATCGGAGTCATCTGCTCCTCCATTAGTCATAAACCCTTGTCGCATATTTCTGGAAGTTGGAGAACCTTGTCAGTTTCGTGTTGGTTAGGTTCCATTTTAAATACCCGCCCTACCATCTGTTTCCAGGTACGCTTTCCCTAAAGTCGAACTTTCATCCAATTTTCCGTGGTGTGCTGCTATCTTTCTCCAATTCGTTTTATTACCCTTGACTATTGCGTGCCTACTTCAATGTAGAATACCGCACTCATTTTCGTGTGTTTAAAAAAAGAACTATGGTTAGATTTCATACTGCGAATTCTTCCACGTCTTCTCTGCTTATGTACAAAGGCGTTTTTGAGGGCACAACTCGGGGTACGCCAGTAGTCAGGAGGTCTGTGAAGGCAATGCGTTCAGAGTTGTTGGCAACGGCTTTGATCGGGTCTGACCGCACTCTAGTTCGTTGTGAGCATCTCTGGAAACAGGAAAAAGTAAGAATGCGTTTGAAAGCGCCACGAAGCATGCGACGCGATGCCGAGAAACCGAAGACTACGACCAAGGCCTTTCCAAGCGTGAAGATTGGCAGAATGAATCGGAGGCTGAAGTCGATGTCCTTCAACTGGGGGAGAATTTTCGGGCTGATTTGTCGAAATGAAATGAGCTTTGCGATGGCAGTTACGATTTTGCCATCGCCTGGGAGTTGATTATCCTCGCGGTGAAATATCAGTCCAATGCGATTGAGATTTTTTTCTACAAAACGATGCAATTCACTGTTAAGCCATGTCTTTATCCAAAATTAATGGAGTTACACTTGGGATTTCCTGTGACCGCTTCCCACACAAATTTGGTCTTTTTTAACGTCTGAAAATCCAATTAGTTTTGTAGCTAGAGGCATTAAGGCGTAAGATCCTACGCTGTCGGAAAATCATCTTGGAAAATGAATAGAATGCTTAGTTCTAAAAGGGCGGACGAAATTTAGCAAGTTGGCGAAACGAACGTCGATATGAAGGCACGACTTTGCCTAACTAGAGAATTGTTTTACGTCCCGTAATTCTCGTTTCAACAACCGGTGCATAAGTCAAATGATAATTTTGATGAAATTCTTAATTTTCACTAAAATTTGCTCATAAATCCTTTGGTACCAAAAACGGCGATAGTGATTAACGGCGCCCAAATAGTTGATTTAGCATGCACATGTTACTTTATCAAATTCGAAGAACGAAAATGATGATGGTGCTTCGCGCACTGTTATTTCAACTGAGAAAAACGTTTTTTTTTTAATCAAGTATAATACATATCATGAAGGTCGCACAACATATGTGAACATGCAGTGGCCAATATGAGTATGCGGTCAGCTTCGTCAAATTTTCACAATTTGATTAATCTATCCCTTCAAAATGCAAGAATCGTAACCCCTGTGGCCCTGGACAATTTTAAAAATACTGTCACCGAAGGCACGTCAATTCCAAAAATGCTAACCAGCAGCTTTGACTCGACAGCTATTGAAAATATTGTCTAGATATCCACCTTCAGGTGGCGAGTTGCCTGTGCCACGAAAAACTGATTTCTCCAGATATTACTAGTAGTCGTGTCCACTATCACGTGACGTTCATCAGAAGAGGGATATATTAAAATTTCAATTTAACCGAATCACAAGCGCTATCTTGCCTACCATCCAAAAAATCTCAACGTACATTTGGAGCCAGACGTAATAGTAAACAAGCTTTTGATGGCCTTGAAATTGCCAGGTACAACAAATTCTTTTTTTCCATTTTCCTGCCAATTAGAAAATCGGCCGACGAGGTTGGGAACTGCAAATGGTCGTAAATTTATCATTGATCAAAATTTATCGATTTTCATCGCAAACCCGCCGCTGTTTATAAGTGAAATTTATGTCTTGTTCCAGTGCTGTGGAACAGGACGTACTCGTCATTATCAAATGCGGGATCCACTCCATCAGCAAATTGTTTAACTGCGCAGTTCTTAGGATCACTTTACTCTTAACTGCTGCCTGCAAGCATATTTTTTTATTTTGAAAAATGTGAGTGCTATGTAAACACGTTGTTAAAATTCGATGTTGAGGTAAGATGTTTTTAGGAAACAAATGTAAAAAATAAGTGCAGAATCAGAAATTGCTTTTGTCATAGAAAAATGGACCAAACAAACGAGTGGAAGGCCTACAGCAGGCATGAATTGCCGTCTCAAACCTACGCGCTAATCTTGAGGGGAAATTTTATCAGGATTGGTATCATTTGAAATTTTGATTTGCTAAATTTAAGTTTTTTTGTGAGAAAAGAAGTGGAACAATTTTAGTTAAATTTACCATCCTCATTTTAAATAAACAAATCTACTTCATCAAAAATATACAAGAAACGCTTTTTTCAGCTTAAAATCTTGAAACCTACAATAACTCACAAAAATATAAGCTAGCAATGATGCAGAAATTTTAGAAAAATTGCTTTACGCATGACTGGAGTCCAACGATTAAATTATGCCGTTTGTTGAATAGAGCGACTTCACTTGAACGCCAAAAAATAATATCATTTAAGCATTCCGATGTTAAAAATCATTCAAACGTGCAAAATATCTAGAAATTCAAATATTATCTGTAGAAATGTTTATATTCCCAGTGCTCGCCTACTTTTTTGACCTTACTTGACGAAAAAATTTATTCTACGTTCCGAATCGCTCAAAGGCACAAGTAGTTGGCAAGGGATGTTGCCCAGCCAGCCCCTAGATTTCAAGTGGCGTTACACAGCTGTCCCTAATGTGCTTGAATGAAATCACATTTCAAATTTTCCTTGCTTTTAATTACCAGACAAAGTTATATCTGTTCCCATAACTTGATGTCTGTAAATGTGCGTTGCATAAATTAAACACTCGCCTGCCAACCAAGAAATTTGTCTTCTGATTTTCTTTATCTGAAATTAATCCAGTAATTACCGATTAATTAGTTAACGCATATTTACCATTCACGAATGTCAATTCGCAAAGTATGCTCGATTTCAGCCTTAAAATAAAACCAGCATCACTTTGAAACGATTCGCACTTGCTTAAATATGATAAGGTGTTACAGAAACCTTTTTTTCTAGCAAAAAACTACCAAACCATTAGTTGTACGACAAAATTCCTGAACAAGCAACACAAAATGATCATTTTACTGGTAGCCATTAGCCAAAATAATGAAATATTGTGCTTATCTGCCAAACCGCACAGACATGGACTGACTTTGCATTCGTGCAGTAATTTTTTTATAAATAACTGGTGACCAAATACTTTGTGCAGATGTGTCCAATCCACTATGCAATTTGTTGGAGATTCAGCAGCTCAAGTTTTTTTTAATCCTAATTCGTTGCAAATCACGCAAATATTTTAGGTCTGATTATCATTTTTTGTTGGGAGTCGAACATACTTACCTGTAAAGTGTGTGAAACGCCCCATGATCTTCTTCATCATTGGCTTAACAAATGAATTTGGCCACCAATTAAAAGCAAAAAACGTTTGCCATGCAACTTGGGATAAGTGCAGATATAATGAATTTTTCAAAACAGTGCAAATTATAGATTGTATAAGGGACGGAGAAATTAACGTGAGGTTAGACGAGTCGCATTTAAAAATATCAGAAGCACTTGTGCGATATTTTACATTCGTATGCCAAAAAAACAGCAATTTTCACAGATTCAGTACAACGATCTTGAAATTGTGGCACAAACGATGACAAATCCTACCTGATAAATTTTCAAAGTTGATCATGCACGAGCATAATGAATTTTTAAAACAGTGTAAGTAATAGATTGTATAAGGGACGGAGAAATTAACGTGAGGTTTGACGAGTCGTATTTAAAAATATCAGAAGTACTTGTGTGATATTTTACATTCTTATGCCAAAAAACAGCAATTTTCACAGATTCAGTACGACGATCTTGAAATTGTGGCACAAACGATAACAAATCCTACCTGATAAATTTTCAAAGTTGATTATTCATGAGCATAATAACATACCTGAAAATACGAAATACTTTGCAATGTAAAATACCATCCTTGGAAGTGTTGAGATGCCATGTAAAATGAATAAAACAGGCAAAATGCACAGTGTCTCATCAAGCGCGGTTGCACAGGTGGTGTGAATATCGCGATTGTCCAAGCGCAACCAATCACGATGCCTTGCCAGGATCAAGGTTCCCGCGACTAGAGGCAGAATGCAAGGAAAAACATCTGCCAGGAGGTGATCAACAATCGGCCAGATGTGCGACGTAAACACGTGGCTTAGTCCCCAGGACGGCGAAAACCCACACGCATACAAGGACGGTTCGTTGTTGGCACCTCCACCTCTGCCGGAGTCACTCAGGTGTATGCGATTGTCCAGGTGGAAGAGGTCAAACGTCCAGAAGTACTGACTGTTTGTTGTGCCTAGAAACGCGATGATCAGGATGAATATGTTGTAGGCCCACTCGGCTCGAAACTGCGCCACGTGTTGCCGAAGTGATTTGAGAAAGATTACTGAGTCTAGCGCCAGTGTGGCAATGAGCAGTCCTTCTGCGTGCTTGAGACAACTGTAGCCCATTGAAAGGGTCTGGCAAGACCAACGTCCGAAGAATTCCATAATGGTGAATAAAGGCACTTCTTGGGACACGTACACTAGTGTATTGATGAGCTCGAAGAATAAATCAGCGGTCTCCAACACGACTAAATAAACTAGAACTCGGGTTATCTTAATTCCACAGCTTGAGATCTGATGCAGGCAGTGGATGCTGAGGAGATTTAGCATTAGGCTAAACAGAAGGATAAAGCTGAGTATGATTAAGCTAGCGTGCTGTTTATTTGTCAGCGAAAATTGTACAAGGTCAGTGATTAACACAGCCGTCTCATTGGGCTTCCTGGGTAGCCCGTGGGGTCCGATTCCACCCGTTATAGAGACGGGAAGTTTTGACGAATCAGCAAAACGCAACAGCATTTGCGAATGCGTTTCAACGGGATTATTGATTGGTGAAAATCCAGTATCATTTGACGTCGAAAACGAAGATGCCAGATTCTGGATTTGAGCTAAAATTAGAATCAAATTAAGCAGTGATAATGCATAATTTGTCTTGTCTCGGTTAACTGATTTTGTTACTGACCAAATGCATCAGCAACATTAGAAACGATTGCTGAGACGCGAAATTAAACAAAGGCCTTTGTATTCAAATTGCATTAGCACAACGCCAGATTTTATCATTATCACCTACTACTGTTGGGAAACGCTCTTGCAAACGTATTTGTAAAAATTATGTAGTTGGCTGCTTAGTTCTAAAGCTAAGCGGGATTCTTCGCATATGTTTCCAAGATTTTTTTGACAGACCAGCCTTACAATTAGGTACCTTAGTGGTAATAAGTTGTGGGATTTCGACTGTATTAATCCAGCTATGATAAATATTCGTTAAGTCAAACCTCCCTGACGTGTGCCCGAACCACAGTTACAAAAAAAAATTTTCCACGATTCTACCTGCAAAACAGCTTGTGGACTTACAGGAAAACGATAAAGGGACCGCTCTGCCATGTTCTGATTGTCTGGAGTCAAACCAATAGTGACAGGTGTAGTCAGTTAGACGATTTGAACAGTACGAGAAAAAGTCAGCTTCAAAGTGTCCTGAGAGAAGAATTTCGAGGATGCTTGAGTTAAAGTCGATGGGCACAAACGCAGCCTCGGCTTCGAATGAAACTCCAGTAGAACTTGTCTTACTACGACTGCCAACACGGCCCATTTTAGCCCCTTAACTTAACGGTTTAATGTGATGGACACTTTTAACTGCGATCTGAGGTCAAGGCATCCTAGGTTAAAACATGCCTTACACGAGAGAGGAAGATGTTGCCTTTCTGCCACCGCATCAACCAATCAGAAAAGATAAAAATGTGATTGGCCGAACTGCTTTCTGTATTTGGGCAAAACAGCGCACTGTCACGCAAGTGAGTGGTGTTATGCGAAGTGGACTGTCCAAAAGTGTTGCTTATCTGAAAGCAGTAACGCGCTCTTTCAAATTTGCCCAGAATCAATGCAGTTCCTGTATTCCCGATAATTCTTGAAGAAAATGCTACGAAAAATAGGAGAAATTGAACAATTGCTGTTTCGTTTGTTTAAATTGCTATTTATCAGCAAATTCGCCTGGTTCATTGCAACAAAAGCAGGAAATTTAAAGCCTATGACGTGAAACATAAATGTGACATGTACACCGAATGTACTAGCAGTAATATGTTTTAAATGTAGTGATTAGTTTCAGTTCTAGATGCTCAATTCATGCCGCGTCTTAAAATTAAAGTCTTCTCGTGTTTAAAAAGCTACTAAGTTAATTTTTACTTAAACGTAACTCAAACACAAATCCTAACTCTCACCTTTTCGTCAATAGAAATTGTAGATATACCGTATCACAAGTTTACCGGGTTTTTAGTGAGTGGATTGGACCCTAGGTGAGGGAAGAATATACCAGGTCATGGTTTTAAAAGCTTCCTGGGTCAATTTCGTTGTCAACTGTGGGAAAATCGATTAAGATACAACCAGTTTTGTGAACTACGGGTGCAAGGTGATGGTGGTTAATGGTCTCATGGTAACGTGTCTCTGCGCACGTCAAAATACACACGCAGAACACAACCATGCTCTGGGTGTAGACAAAAATGAGGTGCAGACGCCAAAACCACTTGATCTTCCAACTCATACCTGAAACCAAACCTGAGTAAAATACTTCACTCAAATTCTACAAAAATTAGTTGAAGATGAAGTGTTCAATGTTACGGTAAATGAATTTGATCTAGGTTTAATAGAAATGGACCAGAAAATCCCGCATTAAAATATCTTACAGACATCGATTTGGATACAATAAAAGGAAAACTAGCCAGTATTGGCAATGTGCAAAAGGTGATGCTTTTTATATCCTCAAATCGTCCTAATCTAGCACAACTGAATAATCATCTATTTCAAAGTCTGGCAATTCAATTCCTGCTGATACCGACCAGATTTACGTGCTCGTGGAGTCATGAATTTTTTTAGAAATATGGCAAAATAAAACCAAACTGGATAGAAAATGACAAAAACCCGTTTTGTTTTACGCTGGCAAATCGAAATTGCTACTTCGTGATCTCATGTATGTCATTATTTTCAAGTTTTATGGTTCGGCAAGCATAAATGTAAAAAAGTCCAATTCTGCTATTTCATGGGATCTAAATCCCTCGTGAAAAGAGAATTTTATTAGTTTGAAGAATTCTGAATCCCTTTTCAAGTGTCCAACATTTTGTGCCCATGGATGTTATTAATTACTGGTTAATTAACCTTGGTATTAGTAAATAAGGTCATTTGAGCAAACAGGAATAATTGGTGAGAGAGTTAGTATATTTAACAACATCAATTTGACAACCAATTTTGAAGAACCTTAAGGTATTTCTCTTTAAATAAAGGAAATTAGAATTGTGTCAACATCAAATAAATCATTGAAATCGATGGAGGTTTGCAGGAAAATCTCAATTGCTGAAAGGCAATTTCACCATTCGATCATTTACACACAAATGCACACACCTGCGCACACACCTGAACCGTTCGCTATTAGTTAAGGCGTATTCCACGTGCTTGAGAGTAGTTACAGATTCAAGGGCATCTATCACAAACGGACTTCACCAGAGCTCACTGAGCACAATCAGGATGTCGTCTTCACTTAAGCTCAGAGTTACCTGTCTCTCATCTAGACGGTCACTAGAGGACACGTCGCTCTCCAAAGTGGCTATAGAATGCCTTGGCAATTCCTCGAACTCCCCAGTCTACGATATCACCGTGAAAAAATCCAAGGTTACCTTTAAACCAGTCAAGATCAATGGCCAAAAAGGAAAGAAATTGAAAGACCTGAACTTCAAAGCAGCCACAGAGATATTTGTCAGTGAGAAAGACAAGGTACTGGCATTTGCGGTAGACAAAGCCAAGCACCCAGTGTGCTTGGCCCTTCAGTTCAAGGAGAAGAGTGAACTTGAGCGGTTTAAGGCAATGGCAACGAAGAGCAATCCGAACCTAGAGCCACCAGAGTCAGAATCAACTAGCAGCAGTAGCGACTCGCAGTCTTCAAAATCAGATGATTCTGTGGAAATCCAGCATGACAAGCGCAGAAAATCGTCTCCATCCTCTTCGAAGCCCGACCGATCCGAAAAAACTGAGGAACCGGGGGAGTCTAAAAAGCACGACGAGGAGGGCGTATGTAAACATTGTCACCAGGCCCTGCCAAAAAAAGTTACCTGCAGTCAGGTGGAATATGAACCTTCGATCGCCCTAGCACAAAGTTATTATCGCTCCACTACTAATTCTTATGACCTCTCAGACAATGAACGCAGGAACAGGAAAAGGTTGATCCTAAGGGACGGCGGTTACTACCGTACAGAGCCGTCTAGGAAGATCATCTACCCGCAGAGGAAGGTAGATCGACATCGCCAGTCAAATTACAACTGTAGACCCCGTCAACGCAGGCGTCACTCATTTAGTGACACAAGCGACTATAAATTCCACAAACCAACTTACATCACAGATTCCACAGAAAGCAGCTCTGGGACGTCGACAACTACGGCCATTTCCGAGGAGGAAGCCAAAAAAATTGGAAAGGTGACTTGCATGACACCGCAGTTCAGACGACCCCGGGCCCATACAATGATTGTTCGCAGAGATGACCTCAAATACCGGAAGCCGCAGCAACCAACTACCTACTACATATGGAATCGCAATGATGAGGAGGAAGAGGACTCATTCCTAGACGACAGTGTCAGCTCTTACAACGACTCAGAGAGCAGCGTCGAGTCACTCAGATCGAGGCGGATCCGCGAGTTGCTGAGGGAACTGGGAAAGCCGGGAGCAGTTCGACTGTACTAAGGCAATTTTTTGTTTGTTGTAGACATTAACGATTTAGGTTCCACTGTCCAATCTCCTCTAAACGCTGCTTAATAATTTAATTAAGAATTTAACAAGTTCGCATTTACTGTCTAATTTTCGCTTGATTTGGTAAAATGAATATCAGCAAAACCCACTGTTATATATAATACCGATGCTCTATTACTAGGATCCGAGACAGTTATGATTGCAAAAATGCTAATTCTTGACAGTTAATGATCAGATGCTTAGTTTGCAAGCTAAAATATTTTGCACTTATGTTAAATACATGTTCAATGGCAGCGTACAATTTGCAAATTAACATAAACGTGAAGTTTTTATGTTTCTTTATTACACTAAATGCATAATCCGTAACAAAAACTGTAAGTAAAACATTTGGTTCAGTGAAGAACTGCGCAAAACAATGAAGGAGTTGACTAAGTTGTCAAATCCACACTAACAATGACAAGGCAGTGGTCAGGAAGCAACATTTTCTAATTTTACAAGGCAAACATATTAAGCCTACTGAATTAAGGTAAATACACATGCAAGTAACTTTAACGTGTAAATTTGACACGAGAGAACTAGTTTAACTGCTAAATTCTTGAAAAAAAAGGTTGTTTTTTTTTGTTAGAACCAATTTCGATTCTCTTTGCAATGAAGGAGCCTAAGAGGATTTTCCGTTTTTTTCTACCTCTTTATTATTTCCTATATTTCGTCCCACAGTTTCGATCGATATAGCTGTAAGAAAATTCAGAATTTCTTGTGGTTTTGACTTTGCTAGTCCAGTGCTTGTTAATTGAATTGATCAATTTACGATTTGTATAGGCCGCTTGTGACCCAAACAAATTTCTTATCAAATTTGATCCTTATGACAACCTCAGATCATTGCTAAGCAAACAGTTGGAGAAAGCATCAACACGATGATACCATGGTAGTAAGCGCGATGCAATTTCGAGTGATTCACTTCCTCTACATAAATACAAATTTATTTTGTCCTCGGTGCTTTGGAAAGCTACTGCTCTTCGCACCAATTAAGATTTTCAAGACAAACAAATAACCTGACAACTTTCAAGAGGGGAGACTAATTGGGTTATTAAGAACTGAATTCTGGAATTTTACTTGCTAAAATGATGGCACCTTGGTAAATGCATAACGTAGGCAGATTGCAGCTTGCATTTGAGGTTTCTTGTGTCGTAACTTACTAAAATTAACATATGGGTTTGGCCGAAACTTTAATTAACAGTTGACACTTAAACGTTTCTGTGCGGTTCGCGTTCGTTTATCGATTTCTGTTAATTTGATCATCAATGATGTGATTACATTTTATAGATGACTTTTTTAATATAACCTATGTAATTTGTTATCAACTGGACTTGACTGCAGCAAACTAATTAAATTCTAGGAAAACAAAGTAAGCGATTAATTTTAATGATTTCTGGCACTCAAATATAATGTATTTCGATTTAAATTTAAATTCAATAAGTTGGCAGATATTCTTTTTGAAAAATAAGATCGTCAATTGTAGTGCAGTACGTCCTTGAATAACTACGATCCGTATACAACAAAAATTCTTATATTCTCCTTATTTTATAGTGGTCATATAAGACAATTTAAGTATTGACGATGGTAACCCCCAATCTATGACTTTCACACCACCCCCTAATGAAGATGCTACTAATATGTTTTCCTCTGTTATGTTATTTGCTTACTGCTTTGGTGCATAAACCCAACTAATACGAAATACTGTGCATGATATCCCGGTGAATAGAGCATTACACAGGTTTCACTGCAACCTTCGGTTTGAAACTCGGCTGCACTAGTGTTAAATTTAGATAATGTGCTATTGTTCTAGCAGCCAATCAGGCATATGACTGAAAACTCTCCCTTGCGAATGCCTCGATGTTTCAGATGACTAAGGGGCATTAATGCAATGACTTGGTCATTCTTTTAGTAGAATGTTTTACAAATAACTGCTCTTAGCATTTAAAAATGTTACCTTAACTTGATTAAGTCAATTTAACAATGGTTCCCCCCATAAAAGCGCAAAACTTTTTAGTTTGCGATCAATATGTCATTATCAGTGGCACCAAAGATAAGTGGTGCTTTTAATTAAATTTAACGGATTGATGAGGCAAAATAACAGGCTTCTGTGCCAAGTAGCTGTGTGGGAGAGGTGTCATGCAAGGAACTTGGAGTTTTGCCTTACTGCACGGCAAAGTCTAAATCGAGCAAACTTTTGCTAATGTCTTCATTAATATGTAATTTGAAAAAAGAACACCAAGCACAGGAGAAATCACCTGATGATTCACTCCTTTTAAGGTCATCGGTAAGCATCGACAACACAGCTGTAGGCGTTGTTGCTACTTTGCGAGATTAACCAATGAGCGTTCTGATCGCCATTCTTTGCTAGTTCTAGAGTGATGGAGATTTAGCTCATGGAAGAACGTAATTTTAGTATAAGGTAATCCATGAAATGTGGACGAATTTTTAATAAAATGAGATAGTAGAAATCTACTAAAGTTCCAATTTTTATAATGCCAATAGAATATCAAGATTTACGACTGTTCTTTTTTTCAAAAATCGATTGCTTTAAGTGTCAAAGAAGAAATAGCAGAGTATGTGCTGTAATTGAGCAGACTGTAGCAAATATCTGACGTGCAAGTATGTTGTTTGAATGGCTCACACCTTACTTTGATCGCATTATTTAATAATGGCTGATGTTTAAAATCTGTGTGATGTGGTAATTTGAAGTAATTTACCGTGGAAATGCTGCGATATTCTTTTAGGTTTGCACTAAAGAGTTCATTTCAAGTATTTGATGATGAAAACTGTTTAACTTGCACTTCCTAGTTGCAAGAATTACGCGCATCTGAGAAAAGTGAACATAAGATTGGCATTCAGATATTGGGTTCGGACTACGATGATTGCAATCGCTTTCACTTATACTCAATCCAAGTAAATTTCAATCAGTTTTGACCCTTTGAAGTCGAATTAACAAAAAGACTCAAGGATTTCTTTGCAGAAGGACGAATCACCTGATGTTTGCTTACAAGACCTGTCTGAAAATAAAAATTTTCCACGATTTCACTAAATCAACGTCTCTTGCAGCTAGACCTACAAATTTATATTGGCAGCTAAAAGGCGCTGTGGTTTTATGTGCTTTACAAACACGTTCAAGATTACCGAAAATTTTAACGGGAATGCCATTCCCATGCTATTCGTCCTAAACATATGGGGGCATGCTACAAACAGTACTGACAAGGATTATTCCAATCTTCCGACGATTGGATTCGTCGTCATGTGCCTATGAAATTTATTTAAAACCATCTGATAACAATGCCAACATCATATCCCCAGGTGGGTGTCAATAGTCAGTGAGCCACACTGCCGTAAGTGCTAATTTACACATCAGCTTAATGTTCCTGCCAATCACAGAAAAATCCCTTTTAATCCAATTACTCTATCCCATGTGTCGCACTTAATTGGCCCTCTTAATTCGCTGCATTATCAGTTTATCACAAAGTTGTCAGTTTCGTTTGTTGCTGGTTGCAATGTCAGTTGTCGTCTCGCATAATCCTCGTCAATACTCCAAAAACGGCCACAATAATCCCCTCAACCCGCCCGTATGCTCCACCGTAGCAACTCTACTTGAGCGAAAATTCATTGCCACCGGGAACTCCACTCCTCTTGTTAATGCGGAACGTCTAGCTCGCACCATCGTGCCTGGTAGTGAATACCCGCGTGACATTGGTGTGTGCATCTATACCGACCGCCTTCTCTTCCGATCATCCACCCGAGGTCCTGAAATATCCGATATCTTTTATGACGACATCATTCAGATCGATCTCGTCTCAGGAATGCACAACGTGCTCTTTGTTCTCTGCGGTCGGCGAGGTTTCGGAAGCTATTATTTCCTGAAGTTTCCCGACTATGCAGTTGCGGAAAAGATTCGAGACCTGGTCAATCGTGTCAATCCAGAGGCTTGTCTAAGCAGAGATGGTTATCGGGCACCAACGCGCAATCATTTTCTTCGAGCGAATATATCGAAAAATAATTCTGGTGATTACTACTTCGAGTTTTCCGGACTTCAGCATGAGCATGAAGCAAGCTTTTGCTCCACAGTCGGCAGTGACGACAGCGACGGTATTTCGATAAAACCTCTCCAACGAACGAACTCTTTTATTCGGTGGGAAGGCAGTTCTAGAAGCCGAACTAGCGACGGTAAAAGGGGAAGAAAATACGGTATTAAAGGCAAGGAATCTCCAATCTATACGGATCGATCACCTTCAGTATCTAATTCTCGTGAACCTAGTTGGGATACGGGAAGTACATTTTTCATACAGGCTCAAGGCAGCCGCCAAGGACACAAATCGCGCTCGACGAACACGCATAGACCAATCACGGTATTCAACGATACCCGACGCCATCGAAATCACTCCAGGACCTCCAAACGGCCCACCTCAGAAGCCACGAAACGAGGCGGACAGTCTCAAGGCTTCAACATTTTAGTGTCGCAACCAAACCACAGCAACCGGTCCCAAAGTCGTAAAAAAGGAAAGAAAAAGGATATGAAGATGAAATACGTCGTAAGTGGAGACAAAAAACAAATTCCCAAGGTTAGAGCACCAGTGCATTCCATGTACGGCTTTGCAGATGAATCTGACGATTCCAGCTCAAGTCTTGACCCCTCGGCAGAGGTCAAAGTTGGCATGCATCGTTACGTAGGTGAAAGACACCGTAAGACACATGGCGATGCGAGAAAGTCGGAACAGGACGATCAAGACTGGGAAAGCATTGACAGCTGGGATACACAGGCTCCTAGACGCAAAGGACCCTGTCAAGGAGTGACCTTCAACGTTCATCCTTCCGAGGTTTCATTCCCGCAAGACGGTGATTGTGATCTTGATGAAATAACCAGTACGTCTGAGGATTCTCTTTACCTGGAACACGAACAGCACTACGGGATACTTTTTCCGAAGCGTGAGGTTAACTTCATGCCCGAGTTACAACAGCGGTTTCGTGAGTGGAATGTGAAGTAAAATGACGTCCAAAAGCCCATATTTAAAAATGGCAAGGAAGCTTGTCGTGAATTTTTATTCTTTGCTCTTGAACAAGAACGGTTTTGTGGCAAATTTTTATGTGTACAGCCAACGAATAATCGTGCTAAGCTAACGATCGCTGAAGCCTTTCAAAATTAATTTGTTTTTTTCAGATAATACGTAGTCCACTTCCAATTTGCACAAGTAGAATGTTTATTTATGTTGCCTTAGCAGAGTTTACTGGGCACTGCTAAATTAGCCCATATTTATCCCGGATTTGTAACTTCAGCTTATGTCAAGGAGTCTAGACGAATGGAATAGTGACTTAAGTTATATTTGAGTAAGTATGTGTAACCTTAGCTGCATATTCAAGGCCACTTTACTTCTCGCCATAATTTTGAATTGTCAGTCAATATACAATGTCCTTTCCTGTCATGTTTTTATTTTAAATGAGTTTGACGTCTGTAAGTGTTATAGCATTTGAACAACTTTGCCTTATCAACATTGGAGCGATTAAAGAATTTTGCATATTTGTAATCTTTAAGCTTTCAGTCTTGAGTACCAAGCCTAAATTATCCACTAAGCATATTCATCAAAGTTGGACCGGCAACAAATGGCACTTCAAAGCAAGTTGGCAATCAGTGTTTGTTTTAATAAGCAACATCTTAAGTATCCACTCATGTAGAGGGTTGTGTTTGACTCAAACAGTTAAAGTTAACAAATTACAAACAAACTTTAGGTATCTTTTAATTCTGGGCGATGACTCAAACCATGTAAGAGCAAATTTCTTATGGTGAATACAGTAAAAAGTTAAAAAAACCTTATTCTCATTGAATAAGGCATGACAAAAGCCTGGTTGTAACATTTAGTCTTCGATTAACGCAACCTCTTTGTGAATTTAAATGAAGACTTTGTCAAACAATGGCATTTTTCAGGAGCTACAATTTGTATTGGTCGAAATGCGAGGCTTTTCCAAACATGTGTACAAATTTGTGGGTTGAACTAAGAAAGAACATTTTAAAAAAAACCGACATTGTAAATAGTCTGACATAGTAATAACGGGAAATGAGCTTTTCGGCACTACAGTTAAACCTAATGCATGCTTGAATTTACCCATATTTCAGAGATAAAACGATAAGGGATTTGTTACTGAAACCACAACCATTTTTAAAAAGGATTCCAAATTAATGCAACAAAGTTAACTGCAAATTCACGCATAAGCACGCATAAGATTACAAAAATAGGTTAGTGTGGTCGCTTCAATGCACACAATTGAATGCCTAGACGGATGTTTTTGAAGCGAGATCAAGTGTCGGAAAATGACAATCTTTACTTCAAAGGGTTCACTGTATACACCCTCATTGGTTTGGCAGCTCACACGTTATGACTCAGTCTGAGCGATATCTAATTGGCTAAATGCTAATTGTGTTAGTGGTGGGCCTATTGTAGGTAGTAATATGGCACTTACTTGCATAGATGTTGAGCTCTACAAGAACAAAGGAACTTTAAATCGTCAGCGAGCTCTTATTCAATCATGGTTAAATGAGTTTGAGTTCGATGATAACAATTCAAGTGGTTATTAGCTAAAATGATGTAAATAAAACTAGCGTAATCTCTGAAGTATGCACAAAGCATTTCTAAAATTCCATTTATGAACTGGGACTCTTAAGTACAAAGCTGATTCAATTGATGTTGAATTTCAAAGTTAATAATCTACGCTCAAATCGTAGCACAGAAAGTAAGATTTGGATGATGTTAAACTTCTTACAACATGAAACACCTAATGCGGGGCATGCAAATCCGTCTGTGGCGTGTTCACTCGTGAATTGACGCATCAGTCACATTGTTTCTGTACAATCTTGCACATGAGCAGTCTTGGGAACCATCAAATCGAGCAAATGTGCACGACATGAGAAGCCTCTCGCTAGGTTTCAAAGTGTAAAGCGGAATTACCTAAATTGTGCGTGCGATCTTATGAGGTTCTCTTCAAGTATAGGTCAATGAGAATATTCTGCATTTTAGAAAGGAGCTATTGCCAAAAGCCTGATGCCACTTATTCAATGCCACCTAATTACTTATTTAGTAAAGGAGGGACTGACTTTGGAGACCAATTGTATTTGCTGACACAAAATTAAGTTAAGTATTCGGGGATAGTGAATTGTGATTGGCCAGTGTGCAGAGAATATTGGTCTGATTTGGTTCAATAGTTTAGTTCCTCAATAACAAAACCTGTTGAGACACTTGAAGTTAACCACACAGGCCTCACTCTCGTGTGTGTGTGCGACCAATGTAGATGTTGTCCGATGCAGTTTGAATGAACTTGTAAAAGTACAAATGATGGAATGGCCAGTTCAGTGAAACGCGTAGCGGGGGGGGGCGGAGGGTACATGCACAGAGGCGAATAAGCAGACGGCCGCGCTGTGGACAGAGGACGGTGTGTCGTAGAGTGGATGGACGTAAATCAACACGATTCATTGCCTCTATACTACTGGAGTAGTTCAGTTTCTGAAGAGCATATGGCAAATTCCACATGTATAAATCCCGGCTTGTAGTGGGCGGTCAACGGAGGCGTTTGAGTAGGATCTTGTCCGACCAGGTTCGCAGCAAGCTTATTGGTATCTGTCACTCACATTTCATTGGCTTCCGCTCCACTCACGATCGATTGGGAGAAGGACCATTGAAAAATGAGGGTGAATGACAGGCGCTGATCAGTTTGCGGTAAACCAGTGCCGAAAATGAACCGGCAGTTACCTAGACATGTGTAATTCTGGATAATGCTGACTTTCCTGAAAATTATTCAATGGCAGCTATAGCCTTTGTCTTGTCAGGATTATGAAAATATTATACAAATTCGATCATGAGAATGTGTGAAAATGTTTCGGTTTTTTAAATACGAAAAAATTCACGACAATCCTTAACCGAACAAACTGCAGTAAATTGTTTTACCAACAGACACTAAAACTTGTAGACAAACGTAATAGGCTTCAGTAAAATTTATCCCTATTTCGTTGCTTCTTGAAGGACGCTGGTATTGGACTTCATATGCACAAATGTGCTCTCCTATTTTATGATTAGACTCCATCACCTGAGTTTGATGTGATTTGAAATCATTGCAAGTTGCACAGCATCGTCCAGAACCGCTGTTTAGTGCTGGGGAGGAAAAAACTAGGGCTTCATCAACGTCTCCGTTTTACTACCGTGTTGAGGACCCCGGCATATTGGCTTTGTTGTGAATCGTGTTTATTCACACCCCTTAATTCACCTCCGACATGGGGTTCCCCTTTTCGCAGCATGTTGCCAGCCGCGCGGATCCTCAACTCCCCCTTCATTCACACGAATATTTATCTTGGATTATCCTCACACCTAGATCTCGATGTTAACGCATGTATGACTCACGCATCCGAGGTATAAATACACACGCGCAAACCCCACACGACACAACAAACCGACGTGGTTGAGCTCTGAAGTAAACGGTTGTGTCCACGTCCTCTCCGGTCTTCTTCTTCATCGCGGGTATCAGGGAAACGTAATCGAGCCAGGGCCAATTCCGCGGCTCCGACGTGGTTCAAGACCACGTGCCGGGGCTCATAACAGCTTAAACCACGCTGGGGTCACTGCGTTGATTATAGTCCGCTTACGCCACACTGACACCCGCAGAGATGACGAAGACAGGAGAGGGCTAGGCACAACACAATCTAATTGTGCTCACGTGAGTTTACCAACGCGAGTGCATGATTGATAGTGTCGGAGTGATTTCGTAGAGCTATAAACGCCTGAATGGCCAGATGGGTAAAACAGGTATGGGTGGTTCATGCACTGACCGTGAAAAGGGGACGTGTGTCAGAGGCTGCGAAGACCGGGTTAATGGACGTGAATCAGCATGTTCACTGTAACCGCTGGTGTTACACAGGCAATTTGAAAAAATTGAGACCGCTTGAAGGACCTTATACTAATTTTACTCGGTTCTGAAATCGCTCTAAGTACATTGGCCAATCACTATTCAGTAATACAGATAATTAGTAAAATTATGTGTTGGTGCAGCCAAGTGAATGATGAAAGCAATATATTTCGACTTTAGAATCTAAGAGATGTGTCGGGTAGTACCTGAATGACATCATGGGCCACTGCGTTGCTACCAACGCAGGCCAAAACCGTTCATAAGGCGCAAACTGAATGAATATACAAAGCAGGAGGCAAAGTCAGTGGATAATGGAATAACTGTTAAGGGTATCCCGTCGGGTCCGCTGAGCTGAATTAGCCCGTTTATAAGCCGAAGACCAGAGGCAGCAGACAACTGTTTCCCAGAGAGCTCTACGCTGTTGTGTTGGTCGCCACAACAAGATCGATAAGGACGCTGTGTAAAGGTCATGGAGCGGAGACTGGAACGACCGGGTTAATGGACGTGAGTAGGCGCGATTCACTACATAACCCTCTGTAATACAACTAAAAAACAAACACCTCTGCTAATATTAAACAAGGCTGTCTTTTAAATGCTTTGAAGAAGTATACCAGGGCTACAGGGCATAGTTTATTCTGTTAAACACCCATAATATGGAATGGAATTTATTGACCTCAATGACTAGATATTACTGAAAACAGTTTGTGATGACAAATCTCAATTAATCGCAATCCGAGGTTGTAGGTAAAATTGGAGCTAATTTACGTAAAGGAAATACCTTCTAAGATTTCACATGCTGGAGTGGGATTTCAGGGTCAAATTATTTCACATAGAGAACACTTTGTCGTTTTTAACACCGATCAACATTTCGAACCAATGTGAGTACATAAGTGAGCCATAAATGAAGAAAATAAGAAATCTTCTTTAACCCACCAAACCTCCATCGTGGGACCCACATTTGAGCAGTTGATCAAACAGATAATTCCCAAGATTTGCAAACGTCTGCATATTTCACAAATGTTCACAAATGCATATTGAAAAAATGAAACCCTTTTATAGATGTGTAGCGCAATCTGAAATGAATCTCTTGCGTTCCTAACACTCTTAATTGAGATGGCACGATGCATTCACTTGTGCAAAAAAAAGTGGGACTTCCACCTGCAAATTATTTTACGACTCCTTCATGCCTAGAACTTTGTCAAGAATTTTACTGCAACGTCTACTGTGATGTTTGGTCTGGATGTATTTAGATGAAGCGGTTCAAGTTCAAGTCTCCTTGAGACTTTACAAATTGTTATAATCTAGTACGTCCCACAAAGTTTAAACAACATTCAACCTTTAGCTAAATTTGTTAATTTTTTGCACATTTTGGGACAAAACTCCCACTGACATTTGATTACGTAATAAGTTTCTCTTAAGGAGCTTTTAATGTTACGGACTTCTATGACTTAGTCTTTGCTTGTTTAATCTATCTAAAATATCGAATGTCCGAGTACATATAGGAATGCATCGAACCAAAGACATAGATTTATGAATCGTAAATATTAGTGCGACGCGCCGTGCTTTAAAGCATTTTAACCGGCTAGCGATGCATAGTACCAATCAACACGTGCCATATCTGCACAGAAGCCTTCTTTAACCACTCATGTGTGCGAGTAAAAGTGATTCATTTACCGAAGAATGACTCCTTCCTAGGATAGGCAACCTGAATACATTTCGCTCTATGGATTACACTTTGAGTAAATTTATAAAAGTAAATACGCGCTTGCCCAAATGATGTACTGGCTTATTTGAGTAGCAAATTTAACTGAGGCAATTTTTGTAAGAAGTTGAGTAAAGCCTTTTCATTTTATCTATTCATTCAAATATGTTCTCTGCAAGCAATTTTCACTTGTCTACAGACACGGAAGTAAATTAAGGTAAGCGTCGTTTTGAGCTATAGAAACTAAATTCAGGAAACTTCTTTCACCGAAACTCCTAAATTGTTTTGACCGCTGTGATCTGATCATTAGGTTTTCCGTTTAACATTTAAACATGGAGTTATCGGAGGTATTAAATGTTGCCGATTTAATACTGAATCAAATATACTAAAAGTCACAAGAAAATCCAATTGGACGTCTACTTAATTTCAGAAAATAATTATTGGGAACAGAAATGTACTGTCCCATCAAACTCGCCTGTCAATCCTGAGATGTCAAATCGCAAGCAAGCCAATTTCCGGAATTAAAATTGAGCTTAATAAACAAAATATGTGACTCCTCATTAGATCGATTTGTTTGTGAAAACTAACCAGACAGAGCTCTTTGGGGTACTAGCACAAATTTAAAATGTTTTAAAGGTAACGTTACAGCATAAAAACTGCTAAGTGGCAAATTAGTTCTCTGTTACGCTCTGATCGAATAAGGTGGTTTTTTTACTAGATCATTGTCACTTTTTATCAGAGAAAGTAATCCAATTGGGTGATCACAAACATGTGTACTAAAAGAGGCTAATATCATTGGATTTACATCTATGTTTGACATTTAATTTTAAGTTACTTTAAAAATTATTTAATTACTTAAAATTATTCCTTCGGAACTGACATGTGCATGTACGCGTAAAAGGCCTTAAAAGGGCTTTTAATAACATTTGAAATATGCCTTCATCGAATTCCGAAATTCCATCATAGGTTTTTTTCAAGGTTAACTGTTTACTAGCGAACAAAGCATAAATCGGCAGCATTTGTAGGCCACGGTGTCAAAGGCAACTTTGAAACGACTTTGCAAGACTGGCAAATATGCAGTTAAAATATGTTAAACAAATTACAAGCACGTATCTGTGTTTCCTCCTATAGATCCCGCACCACTCATCGTTTCGTCAGTAACTTCAAATATTTCACAAATGGGTGGAGTGTTGAACTGCGTGAAGCCAACTGAACTTGGCGTGTGTGAGCCTTAAGATCTACGTTTAGCCTACAATTCGCATACATTTGTTAATTGAAATCGGCACTCTGTCGACGCAGCAGCTTTGGCTGTGAAATTAATTCTCGAGATTTACATGAAAAATACAGTTTGTATTTCGACAATTAAGGAATCACATATTTTGAGCACAGGACGTGCTCGGTCTTGTTAAGAAAGTAAGCAAAAATCTACAAATTGCACCAGTCCAGGCCACGTAAGCGTTCACTTCACTTATGCCGCATGCGGTCGCTTTGTCGGGCCTCCGGCAACACTGTCCGAAAGTTTTTGTATTTTGGGTAAATAATTCGCACTTCGTGACCGCGGGAATCAAACAAGTCAAACGAAGCGTCCCTTGAAAAGCCGGACAAATCCCTTGGATAGATCCCACGGTGTTGACTTGTCGACCTTTGGTGCTTGTCTGGCCTTTTAAAATCCCTCCGTCCATTCAACCGTTTTTCAGATGGCAGAATTTTTTTATATGTTCCAGGTTTATTCCTTGGCTTTTTCCTTATACCCTGAGTGAAATCATTGCTTAGACTTGAATCAGAATCATTCCTCGCTGGAGGCAGACTGATTCGTACTCTTGGCTTTTCAGCCATTTTCCACGTCACCGGTGTCTTCACTTCAGGACTCCGAGGGATTTGGTCCACCACATCAGGAGGATTGGTTTGCATTCCATTGACATGGCTACCATTTTCTGCCTCCTTGACCTTTAGCTTGATCGAAGGAAAAGCAGTCTGAGTGGCTTCCGTTCGCATCGGCACCTTCACGTGCCTGCCTGCATCGAGTTCGTTGTCGTCTTCTCGACGCACAATCACGATGTGCCGAACTTCTTGTTTTTCTTCTTTTGACGCTCTAGGAGGCTCGGGGCGAGGTGGCTCTGGTGACGGTGGTATTTCCTCCTCAGAACTGTCATAGTTACACGCATTCCACGATTTAATCAGCTCCGTCAGTTGAGCAATATGGACCACCTTCTGCACTCTGAATATCACATACATTCCATATTTACTTCGGCGAAAATGTATGAAACAGACGTTAGGGAAGGTGGGGAGAATAACCACTTGAAGTATACTTGCAAAGGGGATTTCTGGGAAGGTAGAGCCATCCTCGCTTTCTGAAAACCAAACAGTATTCTCGAAGACGTGCATCGTGAACTCGTTGAAGTGGGAGCCATCTTTGAGCGCACTAGACGCAATCAGCTGGTGGATTTCTTCGATGGGGAGGTAGTCGAACCCCCTCAGCTTGACCTTGGCCAGTCCACTGATGGTTGTTGTGAATACGCTCGCATAGTCACGTGATATTTCCATTTTTGAGCCAGCAGGCGATAACATACGACGTGTATGCGGACTTGTGATTGTCACTGTGTTTGCGATCACAACCTTTTAACGCCAAGTGTATATTCACACCACTCAGACCAATCAGGAAAGTTCTTCGACTTATCGATAGTAACCGCGAGTGCTAACAAGTCTTCCAACGAGCCTTGCACTAATAGTCCGTGTCTTTATTCAGGTTAGCCATGGGGTGACCAGAAATTTAGCAAATAATTCTTTTGGAACGCAAAACACATATTTTTCGGTAATTATTTAGTGTTGATTGACACTCGGTATACATGTAGGCCTGTTGACACTTACCGTCGAAACGAGTGCGGGAAATTTTTGACACTGAGTGTGCGTGTTTAATTAGGTTATAATTTGCCCCACTACACCAGTCCAGTGATTTTGGGATGTTTATTTACATCATAGCACCGGCATATTTAATGTAAATAAGTCTGAAGGAATGGACAGGCCAATTAAAACAGGCGAATTTGCCTTACTCATACTGGGATTTCATTGGTCCAACATTGGTGGACTGGTAGTATTGCGATAGTGGTCAAGTTAGGTGCCACTTTGGTATGATAAATCTTGACACTGTTAATTGGAGGTCTCTCAAAATTGTCAAAAGTAAGAGTAATCCAATGCTGCTTGATTTTCAAGCTTACTTTTCCTCACTCACAACTGGGTTGTCAGTCCTGGAGATTTTCCAACACCACAAGTTTAATTTTTTTTTATAAAACTTGTCGTTGAATTTCAAATAAATTCCTTAGAAAGAACGTTGGCTCAAAAGAGAAATATCAAAGGTACGCCCTCTGCACTGCAATAGTACGCACAACTTCCATGACACACCAGTTGGATCACACAAGTGCCAAAAGATTATTTTTGGAATTGTACTTGTGATCCAACACAGGCGTGTTCAGATTTCGGGTTGAACAAGGCACTTGTTTGATCTCTCACTTGAAGATTAGACAACAAGCTGGTTTGTATAATGTGCAAAATATAAGAAACATTACTTGAGGTTAGCTTTTGGCAAATTTGGTCAGCTCACTGCTCCATACAAGTCTCAGATATCGTGCTTAATCGTTTCCCCGAGTCTCCTGCAGTACCTGCGTAGCCTGACCCAACAACTCTGCAACAAGAATCCATTTGTTCACACTCAAAAGCTCCAAACATGTCTGAACTGCCACAGCTGAACACACACCTAGATTCTCCAGCCTAATAAACGTTTCAGTCTCTGTCGACTTCAGCTCTAACGGTTTCTGCAAAACTAAATTCAAATGCCCGTTTCTGGGCATTTAACAATGAAAATATGTGGTAAAAATTTTGACAACATAAGGCTTTAGTGGGCAAATCCTAACAGTACTATTATCGGATTGTTTACTATCTTTCAATTATACATAAGTGGTTATTTGTATTTTTCACTAAATAATTGATAACTTGCAAAATTTTGCTCCAGAGACAAACAAAACGGGAGTCGATGGGAGCAAATAATGCGAATAAACGTCATTACCTCAGAATTTTACAGGTACTCACATGGCGAGACTAATTAGGTTGGCAGGTTTGAAGTCTTAGTCGTAACCCTGTGACGGAATCCGTGAATGTGGGCAGTAATATCATCATCACCGCCGTTGTCGTTGTTTTATAAGGCGAATATCACACATCGCGATTTTTTTTAATGGCATCATGTGTAACAAGTGCAACCCTTGAAAAACAAAACGGCAATATCAGAAAGGTAATGTGGCACACGATAGGGGCCTTTTTGTAGGCCTAGAAAGTTGAAAAACCGACGTGTGAAATCTGCAAAAAAGAAATTAATGAATCCGTAGTCTGAAGCAACATTTTTTTTCTAAAGACATGAACCGTGCATGCGTGGTCATGTGCTGCCACACGACAACTTGACGAATTTTCTGTTAACACACAACGGAGGTTTTTTACACCACCTTATGTTTGAACGTGTTAGAGGAGCTAAGGTGAGAATTTTTCACGTTGTTGACGTTTTCAGGCTGAGTAAAGATTAAAAAAAGAAACGAAATTTTCTCTGAGAGTATATTATATGCAATTACATGGACACTTATGCTTGCTTAATTCTAGTCAAAATGATTTTAAAAGAAACGTCCAAACCCTGGACTTGATGGTTTTTGAAATCAGCAGCCAATGGTAAACTAGGATGACATTAGTGCTGCTGCCAATAGTAATGCGCTTTTTTGGGTTTTACCCAATCAGGGGATTAAAAAGATGTCAGCAACATCTGAGTTACCAAACTATTATACATGTTGCAAGCATCGACATCCACCTGTCAAGCATTACTAATATATTACAAAGACTAACGCCGATTTCTCCCAAAACAAAAAGATGTTTGAAAACAGAAATAAACGCAATTATAATTACACTGAGGGATTCTCATGGAGTGACCACTGAGAGGATTTATATTGCGATTGGTAAATTTCAGACTGATAACATCTCCTCGCATATATTAGCACTGCCTTTATATCGATTTTTCGATAAATAAACAGTTGATCGAGTGACCTTGTTAATTCTTGGGACAGATTTTACTGCATTTTTCAAATTTCGAAATTTTATCAGTTGGACAGAACTTTAGAAATAATCCTTGACGTGCACAAAGAGAACTTGAACGGCATGGCAGCCAACTTCACAAATTGTCTAATTTAAATCTACCAAGAGAGGTTACTAACATTTTTTTATTAGCGTTAAGCATTGGGAGCACAAAGTGAGTCATTCGAATATTAAAAATGCTTCACTAGACACTTATTTTACTCATTTTGGACTTAAAAACAGAAACTTTTCCTTAATAATCCCAGCCAAGGCCAATCTAAAATTCATTTCTCTGATTGGTTCACAATGAGCCAATATTTGGAGTAGTTCCCAGACAAATTAGAATAATACAATTAGTAAGAACAAACGCCTTTGGAACAGACGCACTAGAGTTCAGAAACTGTATAAAATCAAAATGCACTACTGATGGCTAGTTAGTAGAGAAAATTCATAATGATGCATCTTGACGAACAAGGTTTCATCACTGACGAAATTCGACTTCTTAGTTGAGGCAAATGCAACAATTTATAGACCCTGGAAGGTCACAGGTGGAGACGACTTTGCGAACCTTTTATTAATGCAGAAATATGCCTCCTGTACCTACGAAAGCTTTTAAATCTTCAAGGACAAAAGTGACCGTTGCTATGGTCGCGAAGCCAAGTATTCAACATATTTGATTATTCTTTTTTACAATTTATTTGTCTGCAACCATTTCTACAAATCCATACCACCAAATATGCCGTTTAGGTCTATATTTAGTACATCTTCTCGTTTCGAAACGTGTCAAATTCATTGGCTTCGCCAATTAATGGCTTCTGTAAAACTTATTCATCCCATTACAATGTCGACGTTTAATATTGGCTGACTTCCGTCATAGCAAAAGACGGATTTGTTTGCATGAACCTCGTGATCACAAGCCCGGTGTTGACCACGAAACCAGTGTTCTTGCTTCATTGGTCTACACACCACTGAGCTGTACTTTTGTATAGCAGAAATTACAGATAAACCAATGTGATAAACCTGCGACTTGTAAATAAGGAGAGTTGCATGTCATATTGACAGGAGCATTGTTTACAAATGAGTTTATCCAGTCACAAGTGTAATAAAGCCGCCTCCCATGAGGACTCATTTGGAAGTGCAATTATCCCTGGAATTGATTTTGGCGGAGGAGAAACGGCAATTTCTAATTCAAGCGTTTTGGATCACAATAACCAATTAAAACCTAAGTAGGTGTCAGAACCACTAAAGGGGAACTCCCCTAGTCTCAACAACAAAAATCAAAAGTGAACCTCCAGCCTGGCGTGTTAAATTTGAGTAGGGCAGATTAAATCGACGCAAGTAAGGCAATTTTAGGACCTGAGGGACCAGTATGGACATTAACGACGAGTCTGCAGTGCATTAATGAGGACGTTAGGATGGAGAACTAGCATAAACAATCGCAAAAGCAAAGAAATTCAGCCACTTCGAACGGTCATTTTATTACCATTTAGAGGTTTTCACATGGAACATCTGCGTATGTGGAGTATGCCCCAGCTCAACAACACTTTGCAGATTTAGAGAGCAGAGGTTTCTAGATTAACAGACCAAACGCACAAAGTCACCTGCTACTGAGATACAAGAGTATATAATGTGTATTTGCATGAATTTACAAAGAAAGGAAAAAAACCACAGTGATTACATACACGCACACACACGCAGGTGGCAGGGGATATATATATGTAAGGGATCGGTACATGTGGCGCAGATGTACACACACACAAGAATGTCAGTGAAAGACGATGTGGAGTGGGGATTCCACGAGCGACGCTGTCGACGACAGCGAAAACGACACCTATCTAAACGCGTGACCGGGCATGTCATTGGCCAGGGCTGGCGTCGCTGTGCTCGAAGCCGGAGCAAAGGACGAACGAGACGACCAGCTGAAGTTGGCGGTGGAAGGCAGGTAAGGTCGCTTGATAGTTGAAGGGAGGCGGTGGTAGGAAGAGGAGGAGGCAGCGACGCTTGGGGAGCACGCGACTGTTGAATCGCTCGAAGGGGAGCCACGCAGGTGAACCGGGGAACTGTCCACTGCTTCCCCCTCATCGTCTTCGTCGTCGCCCACGTCATCATCATTACCATCATCATCATCCACTCCGTCGCCGCGGCTCTCAATCAAGTTGGAGGCATCATAGTTACTCAAGTCACCGGTTGCGACACACGCCTCCGGATGTTGGTGGTCGACCTGACAAAAATCACAAATTAAACAATCCGGCTCCACGAAAACCCACAAATCAGTGCAAAACCCCACCGGACGTGTGAAGGTCAATATGACGCCCTGTTGGAAAGCAAGGTTAATGCTGTCCTCGCGGAAGACCAGGTCAGTGATGAGGTCCCGAGTGATGCCGAACTTGGCGAACGGCTCCAAGATGGGAACGTCCGAGAGTCGCGGACAATTCGGGGTGCCAAGAAGACTGGAAGGAGGAAAAACACACTGGAAAAGCAAACCGCCGTGTTAACGTCCAATGTTACCGAACTTTTTGCCGCCTTGTTCCAAGAAGACTAATTTCCAGAACGCTCCAAAACAACGCACGGGGAACAAAGGACAATACACGCAGTGGATTGAAAAAACTATCGATAGAAATAACGCACAGCTGTACCTATTGTGTCAAGTGATACGGAGTTAAACTAAAGCGAGTCCGCACGGCATGGGTCAATGTCAACATTATATAACAGCCCGGGTGGATATTGAGAAAGCCAGTAATTCCCAATGGTTAATTTTGCATTCACCCAATCTGACATACCGAATATACACTCGTCTTGGCCTCATCTTATTCACACTCTCGAGAATTAAATGTTTTTCTATTGGTTGTCAAGACTACCCACGTGCCTCGATATTAAAGTGGGGCTTGCGATAACCCGAGGCATTCGCACTCGACCCTCGGTCATGTTAGCGTGTACCCGACCGACCGTCGAATGTACGACATCTTTGTCCACAGAGGATGTCGTGGCAAATTGACTGTATGGCACACACTTAAGATAGCCAACAGAGAGCACTTTCTTTGCTGGAAACACGTTCGCTTTCGTCCAAATTTCGCTCAGCAAATCCAAGACACGTGACCCTTTGACTCAAGACCTTCAAAATGCTATGAGAAAGGCTAATCGACGGCATTTTGTTGCAAGATAATTGAAAGATTTTGCCCTTGTTCCTGAAAATGAAGATCCTCGGTTTTCGATGAAAATGGTCTTTCTTTATGATAGTATCGTTTTCATAGTGTGCGTTTGATTTCCCAATTGAGGACACGCATTACCAAAACAGCCGACTTCCAATTACTTTCAAGGGTATCGTTAGCAAACTCCATAAGAAAAAAAATGATGAGCGCATTAAACATACACACACTTTTTTCACATTTAGCAACCACATTTATGCAAAAGACAGGAACTTCTCGAGGGGCCTGAATCTACACGTAAAACTAACATCACTAATAGAACACGCACCTATGGGACTTTAATCACGAAAATCCACGGTCCCACATGCCAATTAGAATGGATTTTTATTACTACAAATAACCACGCCATAGCACAGCGGAGCCTGGACATTCAAAGGCATCTACACATTCACTGGGGGGGTGGTGGGTTGTTTAAATGTCGTTTATTGGATCGCCAGAAGGAACCATTCAATGTGGCCATTTGATTTCATGACTCCGTTTCGGCAAGGTAACAGGAACGAAGCAAAACTCCCCGGCCGAAATGTTGGCCAGTGTGTGGCGTTTGATTAGCGCTATGCGCGATTCCACACACCCCAGAAACGCGTGAGTCTTTTGTTTCAGTCGCGCATGCATTCAAATCACACAATGACTGCACTTTTGTGTCCATATGAACGGGACTTCCTGTGACTATGGTCAGTGGAAAAAGGAAAGGCGTTCCCATGACCAAAGAAAGTATAGAACTAACTTGACCATAACTTTGAGATATTTATAAAAAAAAACTCAAATCAAATCACAACGTGGCGAAAACAATCATAGAAATAAACCAAGTCACTCCCAGATTACAGTCATATTACCCAAATGAATTTCGCGCTAAATTAACCGCTGAAAACTGTCGTAGAAGCAGGGTCCACATACATCCAGTCAGCAAAACCACAAGGGATAAAGAACTGGAACGTGCAAAAAGGTGCCACATGCAGTGGTTGAGAACAACCATCTAATAAGAAAGGTCAGCGCACTGGGACTCGAAGCAAAAGGGTGCAGGCAGTATGCGCGACATCCCGCTTAGATTAATGAGTCATTTATCAATATGCAAAGCTAACTGACGGTGGAGATATTACTTGTTAAAGAGGAAAAATTTGGGGAAAAAGCAAGATTTGATGGCAAAAAGTTTATGAAGTTGGATGGCTACAGTAGTAGTGCCTTGGAAATTTCCCACCTCACCCAGTGTCCAATCACCTATAATGTCTTAGAATGCCACAGTTACTTCGATTGAGATTAACTGAGTGGTTTGAAAAAAATGATTTCTAAAGGGAAATTTACTTAACAAGTAAGCCAATCACTGCTCGATAACTTATGTGCAACCAGATAAAACCGCTTGACAATCATATGCAAGATCGGGCAGGAAGACAGAAAGTGAAATTAAATGACACCATCAGAATTAAAATTGTGGAAAAAAAACACGATTTGGCCGGAAAGAATGTGCATAGATTCTGGATGAGCAAACCTGGCTGCCGCAAATGTGGTCGATTCTGGTAACACGAAATTAGGCAACACACACGCACGGTAACCGCAAGGCCAGACGCCTTTTAAGCATGTTCATGCCCTGCTTCCTTTAGCCTTATGGGTCTCGCAATTAAAACTTTTATGGTTGTGTTCCTAATGCACGAGACTTCTACTTCACCTCCAGCCTATGAATGAATTTTAGGAACAGGGGACTGCTAATAGCCATAACTTTGGATGAAAATCGAGTGGGCGCATTCAATGATATTCCGTAAGACCGTATACTAGTACTAAGGTTTAATTAATCCGTGGTAATTCACTCGAAAGTGTTTACGACTTGCTACTACGCACCTGCATTTTTCAAGCGCACGTCAGTAAACAAACCAAGCTGGGCTGTAGTTCCTGCGCGGACGATTTGAGAGCCAACAATTTCGACAAAAAGCACTTACTCTCTAGCTGAGATAAGCAAGGAGGAGCCAGTAGTTCCGTCAGGAAGACGCAGGTCAGCAGGTGGAGGAAGATACCCACTTTCGGAGAGGACTGACGATTTGCCCGAGACGTCACTGCGGTCGGAATGACGTGAAGACAGCAGCAAGGGTGATCGAAAGCTGCTGAGGAGGAAGGACTTGCGCTTCCCTGGTGCAGCGCCACTACGGGGCATGGTTCGGCTTTTTTCTAACCCATCAACTGCATCGGCACTGCAACCGGTGGAGGAGATTGAGGCTAGATGATGGCGGCCATCAGTCGTGGAGTTATGGTAGTGACTTGAAAAGCGGAGGCCTTGACGAATGATGTCTTCCGTTAGTTCCCATAAACACAAAAATGTATCCTGACCAACAGAGCCCAGACTAAGAAAATGGAAAAGAATATACACTGGGTAAAATACCAGTTAATAGAGGCCTAGTTGAAAGACTTCATGTAGAACCCTTCTTTACACTTCAACGGGCAAGTCCTTAGATGAGGTTTCAAATACTTTACTCGTAAAACACAAGTTACGTTCTGATGGAATTCACAATTACGGTCCAATTACTGTTAACAAAAGGACAAATCAGTGACAAATCCAAAACATAGTGGCTTACCGGTAAGTACGGAAGGTTGAATCGACCTCTGTTGACAAGGAACGAAGGCCACTACTTGATGAGTTGGACAGAACGTGAGGGTTTTCAGGGTCACGAGATGATACAAAATCACCCATCATAGAGGCCCCATTGCAAAGAGAAGGTGAGTACACAAATGGATCAAATCGGACCACACTTGTCCAGGATTTATGACCCTGACCTCGACAAATTACTGCCTGTGCAGTGAAGGACCATATGGTGATAAGATCGTCTTGTCCGCCTACAACGACGTACTTCCCATCTGGGGACCAATCCACGCATGTAAGTCCACCAAAGTACGAACGCATAAAGCCCTCCAAAAAACAAAATATGGGCCTGACAGAGTGAATGAGTTAAAAACAGACCACTTCAGTAAATAACTTACATAGAGGTGCATTCGATGGTAATCAAAAACGCGAAGAAACCCGTCTTCGGTGACAACAGCAAGATACTTGCCACAGGTGGAAAAAGAAAATTGGTTGATGGAGGGTAGGGAGGCGGTAGAAACATCACAGTCATCAAACACTTTTGGCAGAGGCGATTCTGAGAACATATTTGTAAGAGCCCAATTGTAGAGAGGATTGCATGTGGATTTGGTCTTGCATGTGTAGACAACGAAGCTAACACCTTTCTTAAATTGCTGAAAAACTGGAGGCGTGGGACAACAAGGTAGTTCTTCGTTATAAAGATACATGTGACCGCTTGCATGGGCTACGAGAAATTGATTGGTGGAATACGGGACCCATCGGACACAGGTGACGGCAGTACGTTCGATGTACTTCTATATAAAAAATTAGACACAACCGAAGGCTCACCTCCTCGTTAAATACCTTACAAACTTCTTTGTGGAATGGGTCAATCAAATGAACTTCGCCGGCTACGAGGCCAACAAGTAGCAAGGAAGAGACACCGAAATCATGGCAAACAGGTGAGCTTGACTTAAAGCTTTGTTTCCCAGGTGCATGAGAATCATACATCTTAAACTGAATAAAATAACTTAAAATATCATACCCGAGATCCCGAAAGTGGGTAAATAAAAACATCCCTGCCAGAATTAATGCAGCATACACTTCTGCTATCACAGAAAGAGAGGCGAACCGATGACAAGCGACCGGTTTGGGGAATCCCTGGAAGGCATTTTGGAGTTAAAACCGATTTCAGTTTGTAGTTGCCTTCAGGAGTTTCGAAACAATCTAGGACGTCTTTATGTCCATAGTGGATGGACATCATCGAACATGAAGAAAGACACCACAATCATGCAGAATATCGCAGCCAAAACACTTCGGTTGACCCGCTCAAAAAGGCAAACTTTAAACGATTTTCCATTTTTCTCGGAACACAACTGCATTTGTACAGTCTTTAGAATAAATTAGGCATCGATATTAGTAACAGATGCTTAACCGTGTCAAGCTATTTTAGTTTAGCCCGTTCTTACACAAGGGGAAGGATGCGATGTGATTCGAAACCACATACTGGACATTGAGCAAACAGGCTGCAATCAAAAGCATAGTTGTTTACACTATATACTGATTTCTTCTTCTTATTTTCCTTTGCTGCGTTGCTTCTTTGAAGTACATTAAGACCTTAGGAGTCACCATGAAATTGCCATGACAGAAATTAAACCAATAATTTTAACGAACGATCTTTATTTTCAACAGGCTAAGAGAAATAGAAATTAACTTATATTCCAACACAGAAAGTGCCTGTTTTATTTGGAACTGGTAATTATGGTTTTCACACTGACAGCCTTTAATTTAGAACTTGAAGCATTTATATTTTTTTTCTTCCTCTACGTTTATGCACGAATTCTTAACTCAATACTTTTGCAAATATTTTAGGTGGATGATTCTGTAATCTGTGTCACAATCTGTATTTAGTGGGTTATGCTTGAAATGTTTTTCTCATCATACAAATCTGTTTGTCGACTTTCATTGTTAGCCGCGATATTCGAGTTCCCGAAGGTGTGTCATGTTGGTTTGGTCATTCATTCTGCCCTCTAGGCACCACAAGGTCATAACTAATAGAAGGGCATTCCCGCAATGTTTTCCTTTCCCCGATGGCTAATTGCGTTTGGTTCGCAAAATGTTAAACATATACCTACCGTAACTGCCCGAATTTTATGCCCTATATTAACTCACCCCCGTGCTTCGTTTGCGAAATTACCAACGGTTCACACATCAAGTACGTCGTGTTTGTCACCTATCGAATTCGAACGCCAGAGCCAGCACACTCTCGAATATCTCTCTTCGGCATTCGAGGACCTCTCTGACCAATTTGACTTTGGTTCCGAGTTTGACGTTTCCTATGCTGACGGAGTTTTGACTGTCACTTTCGGACCCCCGCACGGAACATATGTATTAAATAAGCAGACCCCAAATAAGCAAATTTGGTTGTCTTCTCCGAAAAGTGGTCCCAAACGGTACGATTTCGATCCTTCTACGAGGTCATGGATCTATCTACATACCCGTGGCGACTTATTCGAGTTACTTTCCGAGGAGGTGTCGGCCATTGCAAAATCATCCGTCATGTTTAGAAACCCTTTGATGGAGCCATAGTTGCTATCATGGTCTTAATCGCTGCTTCCTCTCGCAAATATTTTTTTTATTCGCCGTAATCTGAAAAATAACATTCTATATTTGAACACCTACCCGTCTGTTTTATTAAACCAGCCTTTGGCATAACGGTGAAGTAAAACTTGCTCGTGTTGTTTTCAAAAAGAGCAACTTAAAACTAAACTTATGTAATCTGGGTAGAATGTGTCGCACACCACAACTTTTTTACCCCTTTTTTGTTACTTAGTACTAACTCACTTATTTTGACCCAGGTTCAGCTTACTTTTTTGAGATGTCTTATTCAAAACATTCGATTCGCAGACGCTAAAAGTTGGTGTGATGCGTTTAGAATACAATTCGTAAAAAGAACCTAAGGCCGTCATTTAGTTGTACTTTTTTGGAAAGGCGTTTTTCTGGTGAAGTTCGACCAAGCGCTTCTGGTTGACTCATTATAAGTGAGGATCAGTTCGCACGTAGTCAGATTAGTAATATACGAATTTTAGTGGCTGTCTTAAAAAAATGATTATATATATTGCAGCTAAGTCGGTGAATGGAGACAAGTGAAATTGTTAACAGGTTTTTTCCTGATGGAATTCACTCTCTGCTTCATTTTTGGGTCCCCAACGCCCGAGTTTCAGCCCTGCAAATAGGCACCGTCAGAGTCCTGGCGCGAAATTGCCCGCAGTGAATTACTTTGTCCCATAATTATCCACGGTCCCTAGTTTATTTTTCAAAGATGTCACGTTGGGATCCCGACTTATTACTTCATTTCTCCAAATTGGGGTACACTGGATTTACGTGGGTCATTTTTTAGCCTGAAATGAATCTAGCAACGCTGCGCTATAACTTATGAGCTTTGATGGCTATTGTTAACCACTGGTACTTACAAAGAAACTTGAAGGTGGTGGAGCGAAAATACTGTCTTTTATTCAAGCCGAAAAATGCGCCTTAGAATGGGGCCGTTGGTGGTGTGCATGAGGTTTGCATGTTTGTCATTAAGGTTGAGATTCAATCTAAAAGGCAAATGTTGGAAGAAGTTGTGAATGTATTCTTAAGGCGTTCGGACTGTTGCCTAATGCATACACCCACACCCCTTCTCATCAAATCCAGGCTGGGAGGATTGATAAACATCACTTGGCAACTGTTGCCATAGCAACAAACGCAGACATTGTTACAGCAAATGTGTAGACTAGTAGCTTAAATACATAGGTTGAGACCGTTTTGCAACGACAAATGACAATTTCACAAATTGCCCGATTGTTCCTGCAGTACTTAAATCCCGCACTGTAATAGACCACCAAAACAAAGTTAGCTGTGAAAAAGGTTCGCCACAGACAAACTAAAAGAGCAGCCATACAATGGTTGTTACTCGATGTGTTCCTGTTGTAAAGTGTATTGGTACTTGAGCGAATCTACATGGACATTTGGAACCACTTGCGACGGTTGCCATGAGATTGGTGGCCTGTTCAAACACTGACCCTAATTTAGCATACTCCGTCGACCTTGAAATTTGAATGTGCATAAATTAAGCACAAACCATTACTTCGTAGTCAGTCACCACTAAGGACAAGAATATATTCATTTCTAAAGCAGATGGAGTTTCAGTAATCGGAATTTGTTAGCGTTACCAATTTTAATTTGTCTTGGATGTGACAGGTAGAAACTTTGAGAATTGTTGTATTTAAAGTTCAAGACTAGGCCGTGGAGAACTTACAGCTCACAAGTGGGGACGCAAATGCAGCAATTCACTTAAAAGTCTCTCACGGTAAAAAATTTTTTCTGCAGTTTGGTTTTTGAGGGTTTATTGAGCAAAGGATGAGCAAAACCAAAATTATCTAGCCAGAAAAGGTATTACCCGGAACCGGACATCTGTACAGGAGTCTCATCAAAGTCTAATGCTAAACCCCTAGCAGTGCAACCTTAAAGATGCGCCACAAGCTGTTCTTCTAAGAAATTTGAATATTTTGCTACAAACTTGGAACCTACTGTGTCTGTCGTACAGTTTTGGACCCACATTCCGCATTGTTCCAGCCTTCGACAAGCGTCATCTGTGTTGGTTCCACATCCTCCCTCGAAAGCCGGGTTCTCTTCACCGAGTGAGGCGCTTGTGACCTCTGCTGAAATGTGTAAGGAAGATAAACATGGCCATGGGGATTAATAGGGTATGATACTATCAGCTAGGATTATCGAAAAAAATCGATCTCTCTTGTTCTACGAATTCGGGGGTGCGAAGTAATTGGACGAGGGCGCCGCAATAGCTGCTAAATTAGCCACTGGAATCAAATGAATTTTATTCAGGCTGAATCCCAAGGTCATCCTTGCAAGATTCGTCAAAATAAGGATTACAATACCTTTTACATCGGATATACTTTATCAAAACACTGCTATTTCCAACCCGATTTAGCTCAAATTTGCAAATTAAATGACAATTCGTTTAAATATATTAAAAACGGTATCCATATCACTTCCGTATATCCCGCCAGTATAGGCATCTGACTCCGTTAAAAATGTTCATGAAAACGTTACAAATTGGTGAAACTGACCTGTGTGATTGATCTGAGTTATATACTCAGAAAGATCGTGGTTAGTTAAAATTTGGTCCAATATCAGCCGAATCATTTAAAAATGACAAAAGCGGTAAACATCTTAACTAAATATTCAAGTAATGTTGAAAGAACTGAGCAAGTTGAGAAATATAAAAAAGGTATTGCCATCACAGATTTTAATTCGAAAATCAGTTTTGTTTTTAAGTTGATACAGTAGGTGGGGAAGGGATTAATCTATTTACGAGACGCCATGAAAAGATAGAACTTTAACTGTAAAAAATCAAGGCAAGAGTAACCATATTTGAATAGATAATTAGTGCAAATTGAGATTATTTTATGTAGTTAACCAAAATAAATAGAAGTCCAGTCATCATTTGTATGAGTTTTGAAAAAAGACATCTTTTGATATTCCTAGAAAAAAATCGGTCTAAAGGTGAATTATGAACTTTTGATTGCAGGAGTATTTGCATTCTAGGAAAAAACCCACCCGAGGTCAAACCATCACCCTCGAATTCCTCGCTTAAAGGGACTTTTCTAAGATTTTGAAGACGCAATCCTAACGTCTCGTGTTCAGCGCCATTCCAGTAGTACTTGGTGGTTCCGCTGCCTTCACTGTAATCTCGAGAAGAGCATAGCTGTGACCCCGGTCCTTGCGTTGTGTGGACAAACTGGCGTAGCTGTTGCAACTCGATTTCGCTTAATTCGAGTCTGTGTTGCAAGATGTTTAAGCTGTGTTGGTGGAATGATTCGTCTTGTTGGTAGAAGGTGATTGTTGCCCGATACTGCGCGCTCTCTACGCTTGTTAGCCCTAAACGCAAACACGAAAACGCTGTAATTAGCCCTAATTCCCCTCCTTTAATAAATAAAGAGGTTTATTGAGATTGATCAATAAACATGATTTATGATAATATGGATTTGCTACTTATTAAGGAATACTCAATTTTTCATTAACCATTCGAAAGTGCAAAGACGATAATTTCCAAAGATAAAATTGAAAATGCATACCACAGCAAAGTCGTGGCAAACGAATAAGCCGCAAAAATCCTGCTAATAGCACAACATCAGAGACGAGAGGATCGAGTTTAGCAACAGAGCACCAGATGACGGCAATAAAGGTACCGAATACGAAAATAGCGTCCAAAATCTAAAACACAAATTTTAATGAACAATGGCCACCCTGTACAGCTCTAAGACTCTATAAAGTAGTAAAATGTTGCAGTCTGACATATTAAAAAAAAACATTTGTCAGAGCCTTAGCAAGAGTAAATTAGATATGTGAGGTCAATAGGAGGAGCGGATGGATTAATGCCGTTTTTCGTTTATTACGATCTGGCAAAACTGTTACGTTTGTCAACGAAAATGTTCTCAATTTTTATGGGCCATTATATTTTGACGGCATCTACTTGGACATGAAAGTTTCATCATAATCGATTAAGAACGTTCATCATATTGATTGGGAATGGGGACAACATACCATCAATGTAACCAGGCCGAAATTTGACAGTAATTGTAACGCACCCACATTAAAGCGCAATGGACTACAAAGTGTAAGCCTACGCATTAACATTCATGTTCACTACATCAGATGCATTCACATAAGCAACTGTACAAATCCCCACGCTGAACGCTAACTGAATAACTTGCACTAAACACCAGTGGGAAAATTTACAGTTACAGCCCAGTCCTTCCAAAATAGCAACCTTGTGGCCTTAAATACACAAAACATGTCAATAAAAAATCAATTTTGTATAACCAACTTAATCGTATAAACTTATTGTAAATTAATTTTACGAAAAAGTGTTTCAGAAACTTACATCAATGGGAAATCTTAATACACGTCGTCCAATTATGAAGAATCGGATAATAACCTAAAATTAGTATTAAGTAAGTTAAATTACTTCTAAAACCGACAATCCAGATATGACTGATGTAATAATCAATAAAATATCAGCAACGGTATACGGGTTCGCATAATAGTGTTGATTGGATATCGCGAGGGATACAATTCCAAATTCTATCTTAAATGAAGGCATTAAATAATATTACCTTTTGTTTTTGTGTGATGAAGAATTAAGATAACACCAATATCTCCAACTGAAATGGCCAGGAGAAGAATTATTACTTCCACACAGGCATCAATTGAAAGTCTAGTAGGTTCAACTAACTGCGATCTAATTTTTTAGTATAAAGCAACTTAACTTACTTTGATGTTATAATTTGTGAAGAGCACGGATGAATCAAACGCCAAAGAAAACCTGGGGCCGGTAGCATTCTAGGTTATAATAAGCGACAAGGTCGCAGGGGTCAAGCCAATGTTTTCGAGGTAGACAAACACGGACGCTCAATGTGGGTGATTATAAATCATACACAAGTTTGCAAGTAATATCCTTGCTATTATGCCCTTAATAAGCTAAGGTTTTTTAGGTATTGTTAACCGTAGAAGATGGATTTAATTATACCACAAGTGGCGACTTTTAATGCAATCTTTGCGATAAGTGACGCATCTACGTAGAGCTGGTACTTAATACTTATCCAAATATGACTTTTCATTAATTTTCGCTCCTCTAAATTTTATGGTTAAATTCAACCACTGATTCAGTCTTAATTTACCCAATTTTTTATAGCCTTAACCCTCCCTTTTTGTCCTTGGCACATGCCAGGTAATTTTTTCCTGTGGAACTTAGAAAAGCCTACATTTTTGTTCAATTAAGAAGAAATTTCCTCATAAAATATTTAAATCAAAAAGATGGGTACTAACATCGTCTGCACGTATTTTAGCAGTAGTGAAAAGTGAACAACTGCTCATGCATAAATTTATACCGAGCTCATTGATATTTTATCAGTGCGCGCTGAATTATAATCAAAATCGGCTTTTGCACATAATTTGTCTGCTACTTTTCTTCAAATTTTAGCCTAGAAACAAAGGGATTTGATAGTGCCAGTACACAAATGTTGAATTTTGTTCAGAAAACTTTTGGCTAACATTACTGTCAGTTGACTGTCATTTGATTTTCTAAGGAGGATACCATGTGTGTAAATTTATAATTATCATCCTGTCATTTTCTCTAAATAATTTATAACTACTATATTTGTTTCCCCCAAATGTTTTGACTACCCTAATGTTACCACTTATCACTCATTCATGATCTGATTGACAGGTTTTCCAGCCACATTTATGCAAAATAATATGCATGCGACTTGTTGTAGAATAAAAAGGAAAAAAATGCTTGAATATTGGATGCGGTAGTCTGACACAGTTCCGCGTAGAAACTACGGAAATGTTTCAATACTAGAGAGGAATATTTAACTGAAAGAGGAAATATTTGCCGAAATAGACAAATAAACTCTCGGTGTATGCCATAAAAGCAATCAACAGATGGGTGCCACAAAGTGTCCACTTTTAACAAACCAAGGTAAAACACAGTTTTAATTGAATTTATATACCTACCTTCCCCAAGTGTTAATGAGCCAGTAATTTAAATGTTTAGGCTTTGGTATGAAATGGACAATTAGCTAAAAAAATCAGCAAAATTAAATCAGTCGCACAAAGCCAGGTGTGAGATGTCAACCTCTTTATTATTAGTAAAGCAGATTGACTAAATCACCCAAATAATTGCCTTGAGAAGTAATCAAAATCTTTACAATTTATAGATTGATCTTTGTGCCTAACATATTAACTACATAGTCCTAAATGCAGATAACCGTTTTGCCTGTCATTGACTTGCAGAGCGATAAAAAGAGTGTTGGCTTTGGACTAATGAGCCGAATGCATATAATGATCTATTTATTTTTAAGATTAACAACTTCAGTTAGTGAATTCTTAAAACAATATGCAGCAGTGCACCTTGGGAATAATATTTTACGACAAGTCAAATTTCTAAGCAAACATTTTTGCTTCGTCGCCAGTTTTACCTTATGCCATTGCTTTTTTACCCCAAATAATGGAAGGATTTTTACAAACCTTTATTAAGGTTCTTTAATAAGGTAGCAATCTTATTTTTGGAATAAATGTAAATATTATCTGCTGCTAATAGCTTGTGGTGCTTTTGTTAGACTGTGTGCATAATAAAAAACAAAGTTTTGAAAAATTTGGGATTCTAGATAGCAAGTCTGCATAAAACCACAAATGTCAAGAGATAAGGCCTTTCGATAACGGTTGTGATAGTTTCTGTACACTGAATCTTAAAACGAAATGAACTTAGTTGAAATAAAAAATTTCTGGTGATGATATAATATAAAAATTAAATTAATAGTATCTTTTTTTGCAACTTAAACACCATTCATTAAAGTTGATAACATTATAACTCTACCTGCATTGTAAAATGCATTGCAAGATTTTGAAATTATGGTCATAAATGTTATGTCGTCAAAATGCCCTCAACTTTTGCAGCACTTATATCAAGACCGATTAGAACTTCGTTTCTCTTTAAACAATTCTGTAAGGCGTCAATACGGAATTTATGTTGAAGAAGATAAGTCTGAATGATTGAATACGGTGTTTGAAGCACACCAGTTCAGGTCTCGTAACTTTCACATTTACGACTCTTGGCATTATCAAGTAAACATTCACAATAATTGTCTTCTCAGTTAAATAGTTCATAAGCTCTAGTCTATCATTCGCAGGACATTAGTTCATTAATTGTAGGTGCGGGTGCGCATGTAAAAGTTTTTGCATTAGACTGGGCCAGGTCTATGCTATTCAATCTGCTAATTAATGATGCAACGCAGCACACTAGAATTCAGTTTTTTCCATCATTTAGGTAACTCATAGCTTAACCAGTTCTTAGAACAAGTTTCCGAATTGTATTTCTCAAATGTAATTAAGTGGGACAATAAAGAGCATTAATGCTTGAGCCAAATTGATCTTTTTGCTTGTTAAATCCCCAAATTTCTCTCTCGCTTCCACACATTGGGTGGTCGAGTATATCAATCTTGTTTTGGTTACAGGCGACCGCGTATTCCTTGCCAAAACGCCATCAGTTCGATTTATCCCGTGGTCTCACATCGTGCAGTCCTCGTTAAATTTCTCTCTGTGTTCAAGCAGACAACTTTATGGTTTCTTTGTCTATTTCACTAACTTCGAGTAAGCTGCTTAGTAAATCAGTGCTCAGAGGTTCAAAGTAACTTAACAGAACATTCAAGAAAATAAAACAAATACCTGATTGGTAATTTAAATGAACTAACTAACATCAAAATAGAATTAAAATGATTCACGCAAGACTGGATTATGTCAAAGTCCCTCTCTGTTGTAACAGATTGTGTTTGGCATTAATAAACTCTATAATATGAAGCCAGGCTGGTGTTTGGTGAAAACTCTTAACCCGCGCGATAAATAGATGCGCCTAACTCGCATTGGATAAATCTCGCAAAATAATCTACCACGGATAATCCCCTAATCCGTAATCTACACTGGTCTAAGCCTGGCAGTTGTTGCAGTGGTTCTTGCAAAGTTCTCCAAAGGCGATTGGCAAGAAGTATTATCAATATTTAGAGTTCGTGTACAGCATCTACCTACGTTTAGATCGAAATTCACTTAAGCAAAATTTAACTTATTTAAACAGCTAATGTCTCACTGTAAGGGCAGCTTTTAAATTAAAACTGGTAATTTCAGCAAAACCAATTTAAAATACTGTTTTTGCTTAGAAGTTGTTTAAGAGACCATTTTGCAGAATTAATGAATTTCAAATGCATTGGACAAAGCTTGAACAAAATCTGCGATGCTGAATGCAATTAAATTAGCCAAAATATACCGTCAACAACAAAAAACTTGGTGTAAGCATTCATTGAGTCTGTCATTTTAGTACAACCATAAAATTTAAATGCTTAAATGGTTATTATAACAAGTTTCATGACTACCTATGGTCGTTTTTTGCCTTGTACATCAAATTCCGTGGTTTCAATTTAGTTAGGAAGGTCTTCAAGTTAAGCAATTGACAGCGATAAAGTAAATAAACAGGTTCACATAAGCTATGGACTATGTCATCATGGCAAGTTTGTATAAAATATTTGACCTGAATATGCTCTGCAATTATATACCTTTTAAATGGGTCAGAGTGGTAGTAAAATCCAAATCACCGATCATTTAAAGCATGCAATTGATGATTAAGACGTCGGTTTCGTTTAATTTAGAGAATGATCTTATCTAAATTTAATTTAGATAATAAAAATGGGGCAGTGAAGGAAGCAGACATTCAACAGACAGTCATTGGTTGATTTTGGTGGGTATT